AGACTTTTTCATTTGAATGTATTATGCGAAATTATATAATTATGCAAATGATTGAATAAGTTTGAATGTAATTATACAAGTCATTGTATAATTACTCGATCTATATTTTTAAATGTAAGTATGATGAAACGTGGAACTGATACATTGTATTAACGCCGTTCGGGAGGGGGGGGGGTAGAAATAGCCTAAGCTACTCTATCCCTTTGAGATGTAGTTCTTGCTTATCTCAATAAACATACTTGAACTTGCACTTGAATGCCGTTCGGAAGGCGGAGCCAGGACCCTTGAGCTCGTCCTTGCAAGCACATTAAGGCGAGTACATGTAGGGAAGTACACACACACCAATCATATAATGAGTTCGTCCGCCACCAGCTGGCGACACCCTCACACCCACGTCACAATTTGTCTTATTTTTGTGCCACATTTGATGACATATTTAAACACTGTAAAGGCACAGAATGAAACAATTCAACATCTGTTTAACATCAGTAATAATAATAATATATCACTCATTTCTTTGTTGTCATCGGTGAAAGTTCCATCTCCCTTGCGCAGAGCCTAGTACTAGATGCAGTTTTTGTCTAGACTGTGCAAGGAAGTATTTCGGGTTCCTTCCGAAAGGTCTTTTGCTCTGTGTCTCTCCTCGATTTTATATGGTTCTTGTAACTTTAATTCGATTGCTTCTATTTCTCTACACTTTCTTCCTTGTCGATAGAGTGAGGAGCTCGAGTAATTAGTTTATTTGCTCTCTTCGGCTATAGAGAGAGAACAATATTATATTTCCAGTTGATCCATTAAGCTGTCGAAATCCAATCTTCATGTCCATAGTTGAGGATTGTAAGAAAATGATAAAGTGAGATACAGATGAAGTTACAAAGTGACATGCCTGCCCGAAACGCTATGCGTGTTAGTGGCTTTGTAAGAATGTACAGGCCGTGTTAGTGGCTTTGTAAGAATGTACAGGCCTTATGTAATCTCACCAACCCATTGTACCTTCTTGTGAATAAATTATTATTATTATTATTATTATTATTATTACTAAATTCATGTGGATTCCATCTCATGTTGGAATAGTGCTCAACGAGGTGGCGGATGACCTGGCTAAACGTGCCACATCAAAACCACAAGTTGACATGGAATGTGTTTTAACAATAAGACAAATAAGAAGCCAAATCAGAAATATTCAGGCACAGGCAGAAGTGGCAAGGAGAGGTATAATGTATGAGGGAAGCCAAACCATGCAACACTACATGTGTGTGAGTCAAAACATCAACATTTTACTTATGGTAATAGGAGAAATGCTTGGAGTGGCTCAAATCCTTCACACACCTCTTATAAAAGAGGTCATTTGAGTATGACTGTTCATTTAGACTGCTTCCCGGGATTATCTTATATATACACTAACTATATCTGCCACATTTTTAACAATGTAGGCGCCGTAAGTTTAAATTGCCAAGGGTGATAATGTTTGCGGTTGGGTTTGTGAGGGTTTCCAAGCAGGGTTCTATTTTCAGTAGTAATCTTTAAATTGCTCAGAATTTGCATCTGGTGACTTATATACAAGTAACCACATCTAAAACATTTTCTATTTTGATTATAGACTTTGCTTAAAGACTATCAGTATTACTAAAATGTTGCAAAATGTTGATATTTATTCCGTAATTGATTATTGCATACCACTCTGTAGTTTCGCAGCAAACTAAATTACTGGAGACTTGAATTACACCACATCACCATATATAAGGATTCCCTCCATTGCGCTCAGAGACCCTTCACACCCATCTAATGGTACTCCACCCACACACTACAAGGTACTCCGTCCCCCACACTACGAGGTGCCCCGCCCCCCACATTACGAGGTACCCCGCCCCTCACTCTACGAGGAACCCCGCCCCCTCCCCCACCACCATATGAGGGCCCAGATTGGAAAGTAAACAGTTTACCAAACCTGACGTCATGTATGGCAATAACCAACTCCCTTGACAATTTTCCGAGTCCATTGATTTATAGATAAGTGCAGCAGCACTTTTTCACACCATTTAAACTTTAATTTTCAAACTTAAGATTGTGTGACTTAGCTTGGGGGATAGATTAAATAATAATAACTCATTTATTCTATTTTACTGCTAGGTAATAGGGGCATAGGGTGAAAGAAACTCAGCCCATTGTTTCTCGCCGGCGCCTGGGATCGAACCCAGGACCACAGGATCACAAGTCCAGCGTGCTGTCTGCTCGGCCGACCGGCTCTCGGTGAATTAATTGTGAATTAAATAGAGATCAAAATTATGTTAGGCTGTGACTGAGGTAAAGGTTAGGCTGTGACTGAGGTAAAGGTTAGGTTAGGCTGTGACTGAGGTAAAGGTTAGGTTAGGCTGTGACTGAGGTAAAGGTTAGGTTAGGCTATGACTGAGGTAAAGGTTAGGTTAGGCTGTGACTGAGGTAAAGGTTAGGTTAGGCTGTGACTGAGGTAAAGGTTAGGTTAGGCTATGACTGAGGTAAAGGTTAGGTTAGGCTGTGACTGAGGTGAAGGTTAGGCTGTGACTGAGGTAAAGGTTAGGTTAGGCTGTGACTGAGGTAAAGGTTAGGTTAGGTCGTGACTGAGGTAAAGGTTAGGTTAGGCTGTGACTGAGGTAAAGGTTAGGTTAGGCTGTGACTGAGGTAAAGGTTAGGTTAGGTCGTGACTGAGGTAAAGGTTAGGTTAGGCTATGACTGAGGTAAAGGTTAGGTTAGGCTATGACTGAGGTAAAGGTTAGGTTAGGCTATGACTGAGGTAAAGATTAGGTTAGGTCGTGACTGAGGTAAAGGTTAGGTTAGGCTATGACTGAGGTAAAGGTTAGGTTAGGCTATGACTGAGGTAAAGGTTACCTTAAGTTAGCAGGACAGAGCTTTGTGAAGCATTATAGTCTTGTGCAGCAGGAGAGAGCCTCACGGCAGCAGGATATAACATTGTGGTAACAGGATAGTCTTGGGTAGCAGGATAGGGCCTTGTGCAGCAGGATAGAGCCTGGTGGCCACAGAACAGAACCTTGAGGTAACAAGATAGAGACTCGTGGCAGCAGGATAGACTCGTGGTAGCTGGATAGAGCCTATTGGCAGCAGGATAAAGCTTAGTATCAGGAGGATAGAACCTGGTGGCATCAGGATAGAACTTGATGGCAGCAGGACAGAGCCTGGTGGCAGTAGGACAGAGCCTGGTGGCAGCAGGACAGAGCCTGGTGGCAGCAGGATAGAGCCTGGTGGCAGCAGGACAGAGCCTGGTCGAAGCAGGACAGAGCCTGGTGGCAGGACAGAGCCTGGTGGCAGTAGGACAGAGCCTGGTGGCAGTAGGACAGAGCCTGGTGGCAGCAGGACAGAGCCTGGTGGCAGCAGGACAGAGCCTGGTGGCAGCAGGACAGAGCCTGGTGGCACCAGGACAGAGCCTGGTGGCAGCAGGACAGAGCCTGGTGACAGCAGGACAGAGCCTGGTGGCAGCAGGACAGAGCCTGGTGGCAGCAGGACAGAGCCTGGTGGCAGCAGGACAGAGCCTGGTGGCAGCAGGACAGAGCCTGGTGGCACCAGGACAGAGCCTGGTAGCAGCAGGACAGAGCCTGGTGGCAGCAGGACAGAGCCTGGTAGCAGCAGGACAGAGCCTGGTGACAGCAAGACAGAGCCTGGTGGCAGCAGGACAGAGCCTGGTGGCAGCAGGACAGAGCCTGGTGGCAGCAGGACAGAACCTGGTGGCAGCAGGACAGAGCCTGGTAGCAGCAGGACAGAGCCTGGTGACAGCAAGACAGAGCCTGGTGGCAGCAGGACAGAGCCTGGTGGCAGCAGGACAGAGCCTGGTGGCAGCAGGACAGAACCTGGTGGCAGCAGGACAGAGCCTGGTGGCAGCAGGACAGAGCCTGGTGGCAGCAGGACAGAGCCTGGTGGCAGCAGGACAGAGCCTGGTAGCAGCAGGACAGAGCCTGGTGACAGCAGGACAGAGCCTGGTGACAGCAAGACAGAGCCTGGTGGCAGCAGGACAGAGCCTGGTAGCAGCAGGACAGAGCCTGGTGGCAGCAGGACAGAGCCTGGTGGCAGCAGGACAGAGCCTGGTGGCAGCAGGACAGAGCCTGGTAGCAGCAGGACAGAGCCTGGTGACAGCAGGACAGAGCCTGGTGACAGCAGGACAGAGCCTGGTGGCAGCAGGACAGAGCCTGGTGGCAGCAGGACAGAGCCTGGTGGCAGCAGGACAGAGCCTGGTGGCAGCAGGACAGAGCCTGGTGGCAGCAGGACAGAGCCTGGTAGCAGCAGGACAGAGCCTGGTAGCAGCAGGACAGAGCCTGGTGGCAGCAGGACAGAGCCTGGTGGCAGCAGGACAGAGCCTGGTGGCATCAGGACACAACCTGATAAGGGCAGGATAGAGCGTAGCGGTAGCAGGATAGAGCCGAGCACAGCATGATGCACTACAACACGCGCCTGTGACGCCATCAGACACGTCTCTGTGGTTCGGCCGACAGTTGCCAGCGACGGCGGCGTTTATCATTCACTTAATATTAGGTTATTTTAACCCACACTGGCAAAGGTGAATGATGGTTTGGTGTTCGGTGGAATGATGCAGTACTCAGCCGTCTGTAGTTTGATCAATACTAGATAACCTTCCTTAAATTAATGTAATGAATTGGGTATTATTGTTATTGCTAGTAAGAGCTTCCAAATATTACCTACAATGGATAATTTAATTTTCAGCCTGTAATATAACTAAAGAGTGTTAATAAGGCCTGAATTTGAGGTCGAAGTTGACGTGTGTATACACCCGGAGCAATACAACGGTGTTGTATGCGCCCAATATGTCGCTGTATTATACAACTTGTATTTGTCCCGCATGTAAGGCGTCTGGCATATAAGCAATACCCGCTACACCGCATAACCACGCCCGCTAAGGTTTGTATTAGTACAAATAAAGCAGGAAAAATTGTCTGCTCTTTAGAATGACAGTTTAAGCTGCACTGCAGGTGAGGGAGAGAGAAGGAGAGAGCGCGCGAGGAAAGCCTTAGCCGAGGGCTCCCTCCCTAACGATGTAGCTGGTACTGATTGTGGAAATGTTAGGAAGATCCTGACTAGCCATTTCCTATTTTTTTTGAATTTACTACTGAATGGATCAATGGATTACACAGTTTACTCCGGCAAGGGACGAAAGTAAGTGAGGAGAGCGTGGCGTTTGGGGAAGTGGGTGGGTTATGGGGAAGGGGAAGACAGTGATGGGGAGTAGACAGTGGGGAGGCCTTGCCAGGCTAAGAGGATCTGTCAACAGGTTCCCCATCTCAGTTTGGGGTCAATGTCGGCCTTGAGGGGCACTAATATCGATGAGGTTGAGGTAATTGAGGGGCTTAAGAGCCCTGGGGGTGCTCGTGTGCTCCGGTTCGTGGGGAGGATAGCTGCAAGGAGGGGCGGTCGAGGCTTGGGGTCATCTGGGAGACTTTCTGAGATGCTGGCTGTGTTGAGCATAAGGGAGCTCCACCCCAGGCCAGCCAGGGTACCCCAGGGTACTGTGTGTACCCCAGGGTACTGTGTGTACCCCAGGGTACTGTGTGTACCCCAGGGTACACACCTCAGGGCAGATTCGCCCTAAGGGAACTTTCATGTAATGATAACTTCACCCCAAGAAAGGTTTTGTCTTATGTCAGCATACCACAATGGACCTTACCCCCAAGGGAATAGGGTTTAATACATGCCAAAAGTTTTGTCCATCTATGTCAGTGCTACTCTTTAAACAAACCTAACCCAACCTTTCTGTGAGGTTACCTTGAGGGGGGCCTCTAAGGATGAGTGTCTCCATAGCCCGGTCTCCGTCCAGGTCTTGGGGTTGGTGGTGTTGTTGACCTTGTTTGTGATCTCTGGACACCAAATTAAGTACAGGCATCTCCGAAGCAAATTGAAAATATCACCGCTACTTGCCAAACATGCCATACTACCTTGAATGGTAGTATGGCATAGTCTCCATGGTGTAGTGGTAAGACACTCGCCTGGCATTCCGCTAGCGCTTTGTCGTGGGTTCGTATCCTGACCGGGGAGGATTTACTGGGCACAAATCCCTAACTGTAGCCTCTGTTTAACGCAACAGTAAAATGGGTACTTGGTTGTAACAACGATTCTTCGCAGTGGGGATCGTATTCCAGGGACCTGCCCGAAACGCTACGCGTACTAGTGGCTGTACAAGAATGTAACAACTCTTGTATATATCTCAAAAAAAAAAAAAAAATTGTTTATATCTGACCTTCGGTTAGTGGTTCCCCGGGATTCTAGTCATTGGATGCGTGTAGATTATAGAAACTAAAATGTGGTCACCAAACAATAAAAAATGTGTAAATCTTTAACGAGTATTGAGACATGCTGCTTCCGCATTCAGTAATGTAGTATCGGATATTAACCCCTGCACTGTGCACCTATTATTGGCAAAAACTTCAAAGTGCAATTGCTAAGGGCATATTTTTGTTTTTATAAATGTTCAGGTAGTGTTAATGTCAAAATGTTTCCAAACTAAACTATTTTCATTTCAAAACACAAAGAGTGATGAAAACAATAAGAAATATTAAAATATAGCCTAATTAAAAAAAAAGGGCAACTTTCAAAACGACATTTGTTGGCTGGCGCAGTTGAGGGGTTAAAGTTTGGTGGTTCCTAAGGAAAGAGAGAGACTGATCATTATGATACCTGATGCTAATATCCAACCTAATATGTACAGCATAAACTAACCTAATTTTTTTTGTGATCCTCTGTAAATGTCAATAATTTTATACTGTTCTTGGAAACTGGTGATTTGTCCCTAGTGGAACTCCTCATGGGCCTATCAAAATACTCACAGTGAGCCTGTCATCGCCCTCAATACTGTTGTAGTGAATCTATTTCTGGTACTGTATGTCAAAAATTATAAGCCTAGATAAATCTGGGGCCAGATTCACGAAGCAGTTACACAAGTACTTACGAACGAGTACATAAAACAAATCCACAAGGGCCGTGACGAGGATTTGAACCTACGTCCGAGATGATCCCAGACGCTGCTTTAATCGACTGAGCTATGACATGGTCAAAATCCTCATCACGGCCCTTGTGGATTTGTTCATTGATGCATCACGCTATTGTGTGTAGTGGAACGTGTACATCTTTCCTCAATCTTTGACGGCTTAGGTTACATTTATTAAACAGTTTACAAGCATGTAAACTTCCCAATCAACTGTTGTTATTGTTATAAACAGCTTCCCGGTGCTTCGGAGCTCATTAACTGTTTAATAATTGTAATCAAAGCCACCAAAGATTGAGAAAAGATGGACAGATTCGTAAGTGCTTGCATAACCGCTTCGTGAGTCTGGCCCCTGGTCTGGATCTAGAAGCTACCAGCAAAATGTAGGTACTGAACTTAGGGGAATAACAATGTGGTTTTGAATATAGCCTATGGCATGCCTGTGGTTAAAAAATACATCAAATGATTTCAATTCAATTTCTTTCTTTCTTATGCACCCCCATACCCATCCCGTGGGCAGTGGTGGGAAAGGGTTACAGGGCACATAATCAATTCTGTAACTGAACCCCCCATAGTTCGTTTAGCTAAATAATTGACGATCTTGTGAAGCTAGTTACACATATTAATGTTACATACACATTTACATAAATATACATCCATGTACACACACACATTTTAAATATATATATATATATATATATATATATATATATATATATATATATATATATATATATATATATATATATATATATATATATATATATATATATATATATATATGTCGTACCTAGTAGCCAGAACGCCCTTCTCAGCCTACTATGCAAGGCCAAATTTGCCTAATAAGCCAAGTTTTCCTGAATTAATATATTTTCTCTAATTTTTTTCTTAAGAAATGATAAAGCTACCCGTTTCATTATGTATGAGGTCAATTTTTTTTATTGGAGTTAAAATTAACGTATATATATGACCGAACCTAACCAACCCTACCTAACCTAACCTATCTCTATATTTATAGGTAAGGTTAGGTTAGGTAGCCAAAAAAAGCTAGGTTAGGTTAGGTTAGGTAGGTTAGGTAGACGAAAAAACATTAATTCATGAAAACTTGGCTTATTAGGCAAATCGGGCCTTGCATAGTAGGCTGAGAAGTGCGTTCTGGCTACTAGGTACGACATATATATATATATATATATATATATATATATATATATATATATATATATATATATATCAAGTATATATAAATAAAAATAATTGGTGTATACTGGCAGCAGGTTTTCTTTTAAACATGTCTCATTGAATATGACTGCATATTCAGTATTTACTATCCCTCTAACTATTTTCCTAGCATCAGGGCTTAGCTGAAAGAGGAGTTCTCCAAAACTCATTTTTGTTGTTTCAAGGTGAAGAAAAAAGTGAATTACTATTGAATGTATTACACTTATTTATACAATTTGCACAACTGTTCGAACCTCCATGGTTCATTCTCAAGTGAAAGGAAATTACAGGACTCGTTGATTTATACCCGTACGGGGTCAGGTGATAAACGTAAAAACAAGAGGGATAAATGGGGGACGAAGCACATAAGAACATAAGAATAAAGGTAACTGCAGAAGGCCCATTGGCCCATACGAGGCAGCTCCTATTATACAAAGACTAATCAGGTGTAATTAATATATATATATATATATATATATATATATATATATATATGTCGTACCTAGTAGCCAGAACGCACTTCTCAGCCTACTATGCAAGGCCCGATTTGCCTAATAAGCCAAGTTTTCCTGAATTAATATATTTTATCTAATTTTTTTCTTATGAAATGATAAAGCTACCCATTTCATTATGTATGAGGACAATTTTTTTTTATTGGAGTTAAAATTAACGTAGATATATGACCGAACCTAACCAACCCTACCTAACCTAACCTAACCTATCTTTATAGGTTAGGTTAGGTTAGGTAGCCAAAAAAGTTAGGTTAGGTTAGGTTAGGTAGGTTAGATAGTCGAAAAACAATTAATTCATGAAAACTTCGCTTATTAGGCAAATCGGGCCTTGCATAGTAGGCTGACAAGTGCGTTCTGGCTACTAGGTTACGACATATATATATATATATATATATATATATATATATATATATATATATATATATATATATATATATGTCGTACCTATATAGCCCTAATAGCCAGAACGCACTTCTCAGCCTACTATTCAAGGCCCGATTTGCCTAATAAGCCAAGTTTTCATGAATTAATGTTTTTTCGTCTACCTAACCTACCTAACCTAACCTAACCTAGCTTTTTTTGGCTACCTAACCTAACCTTACCTATAAATATAGGTTAGGTTAGGTTAGGTAGGGTTGGTTAGGTTCGGTCATATATCTACGTTAATTTTAACTGCAATAAAAAAAAATTGACCTCATACATAGAGAAAAGGGTTGCTTTATCATTTCATAAGAAAAAAATTATAGTAAATATATTAATTCAGGAAAACTTGGCTTATTAGGCAAATCGGGCCTTGAATAGTAGGCTGAGAAGTGAGTTCTGGCTACTAGGTACGACATATCTATATATATATATATATATATATATATATATATGTCGTACCTAGTAGCCAGAACGCACTTGTCAGCCTACTATGCAAGGCCAAATTTGCCTAATAAGCCAAGTTTTCCTGAATTAATATATTTTCTCTATTTTTTTTCTTATGAAAGATAAAGCTACCCGTTTCATTATGTATGAGGTCAATTTTTTTTTGTTTTAGTTAAAATTAACGTAGATATATGACCGAACCTAACCAACCCTACCTAACCTAACCTAACCTATCTTTATAGGTTAGGTTAGGTTAGGTAGCCGAAAAAGTTAGGTTAGGTTGGGTTAGGTAGGTTAGGTCGCCGAAAAACAATTAATTCATGAAAACTTGGCTTATTAGGCAAATCGGGCCTTGCATAGTAGGCTGAGAAGTGAGTTCTGGCTAATAGGTACGACATATATATATATATATATATATATATATATATATATATATATATATATATATATATATATATATATATATATATATATATATATATATATATATATATATATATATATATATATATATATATATATATATATATATATATATATATATATATATATATATATATATATATATATATGTCGTACCTAGTAGCCAGAACGCACTTATCAGCCTACAATGCAAGGCCCGATTTGCCTAATAAGCCAAGTTTTCATGAATTAATATGTTTTCTCTAGTTTTTTTCTTACGAAATGATAAAGCTACCCATTTCATTATGTATGAGGTCAATTTTTTTTTAATGGAGTTAAAATTAACGTAGATATATGACCGAACCTAACCAACCCTACCTAACCTAACCTAACCTATCTTCATAGGTTAGGTTCGGTTAGGTAGCAGAAAAAGTTAGGTTAGGTTAGGTTAGGTAGGTTAGGTAGTCGAAAAAACATTAATTCATGAAAACTTGGCTTATTAGGCAAATCGGGCCTTGAATAGTAGGCTGATAAGTACGTTCTGGCTATTAGGTACGACATATATATATATATATATATATATATATATATATATATATATATATATATATATATATATATATATATATATATATATATATATATATATATATATATATGTCGTACCTAGTAGCCAGAACGCACTTCTCAGCCTACTATGCAAGGCCCGATTTGCCTAATAAGCCAAGTTTTCATGAATTAATTCTTTTTTCGACTACCTAACCTACCTAACCTAACCTAACCTAACTTTTTCGGCTACCTAACCAAACCTAACCTATAAAGATAGGTTAGGTTAGGTTAGGTAGGGTTGGTTAGGTTCGGTCATATATCTACGTTAATTTTAACTCCAATAAAAAAAAATTGACCTCATACATAATGAAATGGGTAGCTTTATCATTTCATAAGAAAAAAATTTGAAAAAATATATTAATTCAGGAAAACTTGGCTTATTAGGCAAATCGGGCCTTGAATAGTAGGCTGAGAAGTGAGTTCTGGCTACTAGGTACGACATATATATATATGTCGTACCTAGTAGCCAGAACGCACTTCTCGGCCTACTATTCAAGGCCCGATTTGCCTAATAAGCCAAGTTTTCCTGAATTAATATATTTTCTCTAATTTTTTTCTTATGAAATGATAAAGCTACCCATTTCATTATGTATGAGGTCAATTTTTTTTTATTGGAGTTAAAATTAACGTAGATATATGACCGAACCTAACCAACCCTACCTAACCTAACCTAACCTATCTTTATAGGTTAGGTTGGGTTAGGTAGCCGAAAAAGTTAGGTTAGGTTAGGTAGGTTAGATAGTCGAAAAACAATTAATTCATGAAAACTTAGCTTATTAGGCAAATCGGGCCTTGCATAGTAGGCTGAGAAGTGAGTTCTGGCTACTAGGTACGACATATATATATATATATATATATATATATATATATATATATATATATATATATATATATATATATATATATATATATATATATATATATATATATATATGTCGTACCTAGTAGCCAGAACTCACTTCTCAGCCTACTATTCAAGGCCCGATTTGCCTAATAAGCCAAGTTTTCATGAATTAATATATTTACTATAATTTTTTTCTTATGAAATGATAAAGCTACCCATTTCACTATGTATGAGGTCAATTTTTTTTTATTGGAGTTAAAATTAACGTAGATATATGACCGAACCTAACCAACCCTACCTAACCTAACCTAACCTATCTTTATAGGTTAGGTTTGGTTAGGTAGCCGAAAAAGTTAGGTTAGGTTAGGTTAGATAGGTTAGGTAGTCGAAAAACAATTAATTCATGAAAACTTGGCTTATTAGGCAAATCAGGCCTTGCATAGTAGGCTGAGAAGTGCGTTCTGGCTATTAGGTACGACATATATATATATATATATATATATATATATATATATATATATATATATATATATATATATATATATATATATATGTCGTACCTAGTAGCCAGAACGCACTTCTCAGCCTACTATGCAAGGCCCAATTTGCCTAATAGGCCAAGTTTTCATGAATTAATTGTTTTTGGCCTACCTAACCTACCTAACCTAACCTAACCTAACTTTTTCGGCTACCTAACCAAACCTAACCTATAAAGATAGGTTAGGTTGGGTTAGGTAGGGTTGGTTAGGTTTGGTCATATATCTACGTTAATTTTAACTCAAATAAAAATAAATTTACATCATACATAATGAAATGGGTAGCTTTATCATTTCATAAGAAAAAAAATTGAGAAAATATATTAATTCAGGAAAACTTGGCTTATTAGGCAAATCGGGCCTTGCATAGTAGGCTCAGAAGTGAGTTCTGGCTACTAGGTACGACATATATATATATATATATATATATATATATATATGTCGTACCTAATAGCCAGAACGCACTTCTCAGCCTACTATTCAAGGCCCGATTTGCCTAATAAGCCAAGTTTTCATGAATAAATGTTTTTTCGTCTACCTAACCTACCTAACCTAACCTAACCTAGCTTTTTTTGGCTACCTAACCTAACCTTACCTATATATATAGGTTAGGTTAGGTTAGGTAGGGTTGGTTAGGTTCGGTCATATATCTACGTTAATTTTAACTCCAATAAAAAAAATTGACCTCATACATAGTGAAAAGGGTAGCTTTATCATTTCATAAGAAAAAAATTATAGTAAATATATTAATTCAGGAAAACTTGGCTTATTAGGCAAATCGGGCCTTGAATAGTAGGCTGAGAAGTGGGTTCTGGCTACTAGGTACGACATATATATATATATATATATATATATATATATATATATATATATATATATATATAATAATTTTTATTTTCTCTACTGAATATTTACACTAGTACCTAATGTTAATGTGTGTACAGTACAACAGATATGTTTAGTGAGTTCCCTGTTGCCCTGTGGGTTCTTTGTGGCTCAGAGAGAGGGGCAGGGGGGGGGGAAAGAGTTTGTTTTTGCATCAGAGATTTTGCTCATTCAGCATACTCTGTTGTTGCCTCCTATCATGGCTGATATAACTTGCTGAATTACACAATGCACAGTTACCATTTGGTGAATTATCAGTGTTCATCTTTCATTTGTCCTGGTATTTCCTTTATCAATTTAACTTGTGTTTACAAGTTGAAACTAATGTTTTGTTTGAAATTTTGTAAAGTTTTGTGGTGTTTAGTTATCTACTATATAAAGATTTATATGAAATTATATAGAGATGATTTAGTTCAAGAGCTCACTGTTCTAGACTGTTGGTACTGATAGACTCAAACCAGCATATTCACCATACCCTATCTGATTGTCCAGGCTCTTGGTACTGACACTGTAGGCACATAAGCTAACTTATTTACTGTACAAAACCCCATCTGATTTAGCATCTTTTCAAGAGAATTTTCAAGTTCTACCTTGAATCTATCAACAGACGTATTCATGACATTTGTAACATTTACATATTGAAAATTTTAATTTTGTAATAGCAATGATTGTTGCCCCCCCCCCCCCCCCAGTCATATATTATCCTCAGCTTCACATGTCCCCAATGGGGCCTAAGTTGCTGGCTAAGAAAACATTCAGTAATCAGATTTTCCACTTAATAGTGTGTAAACAGAGGGACACTATAGCATATCTCTAGTGGCCTCACTGGGGACAGAAGATACTCGCCTAGTTGTACTCACTTAGTTGTGTTTGTGGGGGTTGAGCTTTGGCTCTTTGGTCTTGCCTCTCAACTGTCAGCAAACTGGCTTCAGTATAATTACTTAAGTGTAGTTACAGAATGAGAGCTACGCTTGTGGTGTCCCATCTTCCCAGTTCTCTTTGACATATATCTTTGTTATGTTACCTGGTGTACAGGTTCCTGAGCCTATTGGGCTCTATCATATTTACATTTGAAACTGTGTATGGAGTCTGCCTCCACCACATCATTTAAATCTACGGCACTGTCAACTCTCCACTGTCTCATCTACACACCGCCTTGACTACTACCTGAAAGAATGTGAACACATGAGGGACATTAGAAATATGCGTAGAATAATACACCCCACATTGTTTGAGTTAGGATAACACTATTTGTCAAATATAGATACTATTCTTAAAAGATTTCCCCATTTTGTACCCACAAGATAACGTAAGATTTTAAGGGTTGACAGATGTTAATCTTCTTGCATGAGGAGCTGTTCACTCGAGACAATTAAGCAAGTCCCAGCTGTGTCTGGGTACAAGTGACAGGATGAACAACCCAGCAGGTTTTCTTCCTATTGGGGAGTGTTGTACATGCTGCTGTGGCAGTATGTCCACTCATGGGACGAGTGGTGCTGCCCAATAAACTCGCCCTCGGGGCAAATTTTAAATAATGTAAATAGTACTGTACAATGAATGTATTAATCCAGATACATTTTAAGTTTGTATGAATTTTGTTGTCCATGTACTGTACCATCACAAGCACTACTGATGACTCGTATCAATGCAGCTATGTTAAAACTATTTCAGATTACTGTAGTTTAGATGATGCTAATAAAAGGCTGTAACTTACATTTTGACAAGTTTATAGACTTGTATCAATGTATTTGTGATCAGTTCAACCCATATTATTTAAATAATTTGTGATATTTTTGTTGCTAAGTTTTATCAGACACTGTAGATGCTAGATTTTTTTCTTCCTGTGAACAGCTGGTGACTTTACCTTTATGGAGGTTGTACTCGTATCCACTCCAAGGTCATATTATGTTACTGATGTGAAAGTTTTTATTCTTTTACTGTACTTTAAAAAAGGTTGTTTATTTTATTATTTTCAAGAATGCCTGGGGGCGAAGTGCACAAGACATTCAAGATATTTTGCGGTAATCTCGCTGGAGCAGCAACGAAAGATGACTTATACTATCTCTTCTCGCAATATGGACCAGTTATTGAGGCCGTTGTCATGGTTGGCAAGTTTTATGGATTTGTGGTAAGTACTTTCCCAACTGAGCTCTTGCATGATGTTTTTTAATACTATAAATGTTTTAGCTCATGAACTGTATACTTTATGAAGTATTTTCTAACAAGTATATAATAATTATATTTGGTGCATGTAATTCTATATACTGTAACTAGTTATGTAAATGCATGCATTAATTGCATAGATTAAATGATTAAATAATCCATAGTGGTTTAAATTAGATATTGTATCTGAGTTACAAAGGAATGGGCCTCATTTTAATATTGGACATTATATAAAGTGTATTTTAGACATTTTATAAATAGCGTGCATGTATGTGTGCCAAGGTGTACATTCATGCAGTTCCATTTATTAGTGTGGACTTTCTAATGTGCGTGTGGCAATTCTTATATAGCTACAACAAGAGGATGTTGGACAGAAGAGTGTAGGGTGATAAATTTCTAGTGTCTGTCAGCAGGGCATAGTGTGATGAGTGCTCATAGGCAGCAGGGCATAGTGTGATGAGTACCCCTTGTCAGGCAGCTGAGCATAGGGTGGTGATGAGTAGCTTGCATTAGGCAACTGGGCATAGGGTGGTGATGAGTAGCTGGCATCAGGCAGTTGAGCATAGGGTGACGTGTTCCCAGCATCAGGCAGTTGGGCATAGGGCGACGTGTTCCCAGCATCAGGCAGTTGGGCATAGGGCGACGTGTTCCCAGCATCATACAGTTGAGCATAGGGCGACGTGTTCCCAGCATCAGGCAGTTGGGCATAGGGCGACGTGTTCCCAGCATCAGTCAGTTGGGCATAGGGCGACGTGTTCCCAGCATCATACAGTTGAGCATAGGGCGAGGTGTTCCCAGCATCATACAGTTGGGCATAGGGCGACGTGTTCCCAGCATCAGGCAGTTGGGCATAGGGCGACGTGTTCCCAGCATCATACAGTTGGGCATAGGGCGACGTGTTCCCAGCATCATACAGTTGAGCATAGGCGATGTGTTCCCAACATCAAACAGTAAGACTAACTCCTGGATAGTTATTTACTGATTGGTGAACATATGCATTAGGTGAAAAGAAACATGCCCAACCATTTCTATCCTGTCCAAGATTTGTATCCAGGATTTCCAGTTGTGAGTTGAGAACAAACTCAGCTGACCTGTTCACGAGATCTTACAATTTTGGGTTCTTAATATTGTATGTGAATTTCTGTTGCTGCTTTATTTATATTTTCTGGAAATGTGCACTGAAAACTTTAAAGTCTTCTCGTACAATCTTAGGTAAGCAAGGATCGGCTGCTTGCTTTTGTCTTGTGGAATTTGTAATGAAATAAGTGTGAAGTGATATACTGGTTACATAATATCATAGGATATATTATAGCTCAGATGATAGGTCAGTGACAAAACTGTGCCTAAATTATAGTCTAAACTATAATTGTTTCTTGCCAATGAATATGAGAAAAATGCAATGAATAAATACAATACTTAACCCTTTTCATTATGTATAAATGCAATGCAATTGTCAGTTTGTAAAGTATCATTGGTTTTCAATAACTGAATACAGGATTATTGTTTCCATGCTTTTGCACACTTATAGCAAACCTTTGACTGGTGAATTTGAGTATCCTGTGTGAAATTGCACTGATCCAATAAAAATGGTTTACTTTGTATTATGATTCGAGAAGCATTTGTCACACTTTCATGGTTTCGCAACATTCTCATTCAATGGGATTGAACCTCATTCCAGGACTCTGCAGACACTTACAGTACCGATTTTCTCTCAGATACATTACATTCTTGTAATTTGATTGTGCATTCTCGTTCACTAATGCTTGCCTGGTTGTGTACGTTGGTTAGTTTGGAAGCAAAAGATATGTTATCTAAGAATGAATTGGTTTTCTCTTTTCAACATCACTTGCACAAGTTTCTCGGTAGTCGATCACATGTCCCTGGTATTGTGTTAAGACTCATCAGCCACGTCTAGTACTTTTTCAAATGTTAATTTCACACAGTTACCATCTCTCTCCTGTACTATAACTTTACCATTGTCCACATTCACTGTTAACAATCTTGGATTATACTGTACATATAATAAAAAATAATTGTTTGCATAAATTGCTTATCACTGACATACTCCAGTGGCTTATTTCATGCACTAAGTTTGCACCTCTCTTAAATATTCTTACTTTGCCCTCCATTCAGTTGTACACTTAATGCAGTAACAAAGCTAACATCACACAACACCGGCATATTCTACATTCGTGTGTACGTTATGCCTGAAACTCTGTGCGTAATTAGTGGCTTTATATAATATGCAATTGATGTACAGTACTACTAATTAATCACTGTGGCATGTTCCTATGTTTGTTTTATAAACATTACTGTATTATTATTACAGTAGTCCTATTTCCCACTTCCATGGGGTGGGAAGGCATGCAACCTGTCCTCAAATAATACATCACATTTTGATGTCAAAATTCCCAGCAGACAAAATATGAAGTACTATACAGTAAATCATAGCAGCTCACAAATATTCATGTTTTCTATGTGTGGGTCGGTAGGTTAGGTTTAGACTATTTAGTACGTCATTTTCTGTCTGTTGTGACAATTTGAAATGACAGGGTGAGCCATCATCTTGGTGAAAGAAAATGGGAAGCAGTGGACTGAATAAAGGTTATAGATAGTAAAAAGAAAATATCACATATTTCATTACACTTTGCACAATATATAGTTTCACAGATAAGCATTCACAGATAGGCAGGTACCGGTATGCAACAGGTTCTCACATTTCAGTAGTTATCCACAGTTGCACCTGGTGTTATAGTGCTCCTTTGGAATTTTCGCATACAGTATGCAAACAAATGTATTCATTTCATATAAACTGCTTCTTCTGAGCCTTGTTCCTTACAATATTCTATATGTTCTTCACACTCCTCACTTCCACACACATTTACAATTTTTGCTCTTGAAAAGATCGCTTTGTAAGGTCCCACACAGAAAGAGATTCAGCCACCCTCGAAGAATGTCCATCAATCTAAAAGAGATTCAGGCATTCTGGAAAAAATTCAACCAGCCTCAAAGAGTGCCAGTCAATCTGGAAGAGATTCAGCTATTCTTGAAAATATCTACGGAAAACACCACCATGGAAGCTGCTAACACTGTTCATCAATGCTACTTGTATCAGATGCATCATCACTGAACGCAGAAAACACTTCATCTATGTATCATCTAAATAAATTGTAGATAGCATAGGATTGCAAGGGTGACGCTCAGAGCTACAACTGGATACGCTCGCTGTATCGTCCTCATAGGTACTGTATCACTTGCATCCGACCTTTGTGTTAGGTCCTTATTGTGCCTAGCTTCACCAATATCATGACCCTTATGTTCTTCAAACAATAAGGTTTGAATTTCACCGACAGAGCGCGATCTTTCAACACCGCGTCGGACAGGTGTTTATGAGCCAGAGGTGCGTGCGTCACCCATGGTTGCTCACTCAGTACTAACGCAGCCAGCAGCCCTAGGGCATTCTGGGAATTTTTTCCAAGATGGCTGCCTCTCACTGGAGGTCCTAAGAGTTCATTTCGTACACAACCAACCGCGCACACATTTTGAATGGGTACAAAAAATCCAAAAAGAGTTTTCTCGGTTGGTGCAGTTTCCCACCGACCGAGTTTTTTTGGTTGGTGCAGTCCAGTGGTTAATGGCTATAATTTCTCCTTCTCATCACTTTGTAATGTCTTAACATTACTTGGTACTTCTTCCTATAATGAAGGAATCTACTACAATATAGGAAGAAGAATATACTTTTTCCTGTATTGAAGTTTAGCTCTGTTTAGAGTGATCCTCAAAGGTTGATCTTTCCCATTTTCATACCTGCTATTTCTCCAGTAGTTACCGACATTATCTAGCCCAACAATTTGATCTACTACTTTTGATTCTTCTGTGGCTCTTTCTAACCTAGATGTTATCTCCTTTTCTTTGCAATCAAAAATTATTAGGGACTTCGATCAATTGTTTTGCACCCATTTTGGGTTTGATGCCATTTCCTTTCTGACTTCCAGTCTAATGTCTGTGCTCTTCTAATTGCTGCAGTTTCTGGCTTCCTTTACCACTTCTTCAGTTATTTCTTTCTGGCCACTTGTGCATAGGAAAGTTGCATATCCTTCTTGCATTGTTCTGTTCCTTGTGCAACGTCTTCCATCTGTATTGTGAGTGTGTGTGAGAGTGAGAATGTACACCTAAGTGTAGAGGATTGACACTGGTGGTTGGAGGAGGGATGACACTGGTGGTTGGAGGAGGGATGACACTGGTGGTTGGAGGAGGGATGACACGGGTGGTTGGAGGAGGGATGACACGGGTGGTTGGAGGAGGGATGACACGGGTGGTTGGAGGAGGGATGACACGGGTGGTTGGAGGAGGGATGACACGGGTGGTTGGAGGAGGGATGACACTGGTGGTTGGAGGAGGGATGACACGGGTGGTTGGAGGAGGGATGACACTGGTGGTTGGAGGAGGGATGACACGGGTGGTTGGAGGAGGGATGACACTGGTGGTTGGAGGAGGGATGACACTGGTGGTTGGAGGAGGGATGACACGGGTGGTTGGAGGAGGGATGACACTGGTGGTTGGAGGAGGGATGACATGGGTGGTTGGAGGAGGGATGACACTGGTGGTTGGAGGAGGGATGACACGGGTGGTTGGAGGAGGGATGACACGGGTGGTTGGAGGAGGGATGACACGGGTGGTTGGAGGAGGGATGACACGGGTGGTTGGAGGAGGGATGACACGGGTGGTTGGAGGAGGGATGACACGGGTGGTTGGAGGAGGGATGACACTGGTGGTTGGAGGAGGGATGACACTGGTGGTTGGAGGAGGGATGACACGGGTGGTTGGAGGAGGGATGACACTGGTGGTTGGAGGAGGGATGACACGGGTGGTTGGAGGAGGGATGACACTGGTGGTTGGAGGAGGGATGACACTGGTGGTTGGAGGAGGGATGACACTGGTGGTTGGAGGAGGGATGACACTGGTGGTTGGAGGAGGGATGACACGGGTGGTTGGAGGAGGGATGACACGGGTGGTTGGAGGAGGGATGACACGGGTGGTTGGAGGAGGGATGACACGGGTGGTTGGAGGAGGGATGACACGGGTGGTTGGAGGAGGGATGACACGGGTGGTTGGAGGAGGGATGACACGGGTGGTTGGAGGAGGGATGACACTGGTGGTTGGAGGAGGGATGACACTGGTGGTTGGAGGAGGGATGACACGGGTGGTTGGAGGAGGGATGACACTGGTGGTTGGAGGAGGGATGACATGGGTGGTTGGAGGAGGGATGACACTGGTGGTTGGAGGAGGGATGACACGGGTGGTTGGAGGAGGGATGACACGGGTGGTTGGAGGAGGGATGACACTGGTGGTTGGAGGAGGGATGACACGGGTGGTTGGAGGAGGGATGACACGGGTGGTTGGAGGAGGGATGACACGGGTGGTTGGAGGAGGGATGACACGGGTGGTTGGAGGAGGGATGACACGGGTGGTTGGAGGAGGGATGACACGGGTGGTTGAAAGAGGGATGACACAGGTGGTTGAAAGAGGGATGACACAGGTGGTTGAAAGAGGGATGACACGGGTGGTTGGAGGAGGGATGACACGGGTGGTTGAAAGAGGGATGACACAGGTGGTTGAAAGAGGGATGACACAGGTGGTTGAAAGAGGGATGACACGGGGTGGCTGGACAATCAGCGTAGGGAATTGGATAAGTGTACCATTAAGGAACATCATTTTACAAACTGCTCAGATTTTAAATATGTGGACATCTGTACTGTACATATATTTAAATGTTGAGAATGGCTAGGTTTTAATGTACGTTTTTTGTCACTTGTATAACACCACGAGTAGATAATCTTTTAACATTTTCTTAAAGAAATATTGTGGGAAGAGTGACATGCTCAGCAGCCTGTGTTTGTTTTCAGTGTTCAAGAATGTGTCTGGAACTCATTTGATTTTTTTCTACTTTACCATCTAGAACGAAAAAATATATAGTGATCATTTGATTTTTCTACTTACCTTAGCTTTTAATTTTTGTTTCCTGTATTTGCAATAAAAATTTGTAGTTAAAAGTTAGCTTCAATTAAATTAGCTTCGTGACGTACGTGACTGAATCTATTTCTTAATTTTATTAAAATTCTTTGCATTGCACTCATTACCATTTTGCAATATATTTTTGATGAATTCATATAATATTTTCTAAGTGTTTAGTTAATGTCTTTAAGCCTATATTCCAGTCATCATGAGTCAATATGGACTCAAATTTAAAATGTATTAATGCAATTTTAACCATATAAATAATAGTCATTCACTTAAAGCCTTCATAATTAAACTCTACAAAATATTCTTCAGCACACTGTTGATCTGCTGCTATTTTTACAAGAGGATATCAAGTGCATATATATATATATATATATGTATATAAGGGTTATTGACCCATTGTAAAGTAGCTATTTTACTATCAAACATTTAGTTTAAGCTCTTGTTCTTCTGTAAAAGAATGTAGCTTGTTTCATGAGGACTTGTATCATCGTTGCACATGCTGATTTTAATAAGTTTGTGCGTCTTTTTGAGTTTGTGCATGTTGCCGTGTTTCCCTGCAGCACATGGCTTATGAGGAGGACGGCTGGAAGGCAATATGCGAACTTCGGGGCTACAATCTTCATGGTAAAGGTACGTTTAAGCAAATGTATGCAAATGTCTTGCGTTGTTTATCTTTCAATTTCCTGATATTATTGTTAAGAATGTTTCTTTTTCTAATGATTGTATTGTTAATACTGTTATTTGAAACTTGTTTTAATAGTCATGAGAGTACCAGTATAGTATATTTCTTGACTGTCAGTTGTGTTGATTTTGGGGCGACGACGACCCGAGGATCAGGTTATCACAGTTCATTAGCTACCACAGTCCACCAATATTATGTCCTGGATCTGGTGTCATGATTTCAGCATCAGTGTTTTTCAACATTGGTTTGATTAGATGACAAATGAGTTTTAACACTATTGCTCGCTTTGGACACCGATCACATCTATTTTTCTTCTCTCGAGTCCTAGCCGTGGACAGGACACGCGTCCACTACAAAAATATTTGTATAAAATTAATTTTTTATCCGATTGACCATGGGATAGTTTCAAAATAAGCGCCTTTAGAATGCGCACAATTTGATACTAAAATGAAAAATGTAACACGAAACTTGATGTCAGAACTCTTGAAAGATTATATATACGTTTTTGGGTCTAAATTTTAAATTTTAAAATATTTGTTAAAATTCGATTTATTGTACTATTATTATGGGACTAGTTTTAAAATGCGCGCCTTTATATTGCGAACAATTTGATACCAAAACGAGCGATGTAACATGAAAATTGATGTTATCAAACTGAACAAGTATACACATTAGGTTGTGGTGTGCAAATTGGTGCTCGTTCACGGGTAACTTTAGGCTTTGCTGCGGGGAATCTCGACATATAATATCTTTTTGGACATTATATGCATATACATCTGCAGGAAATTTAATTATGAACACAATGATACCAAAACGAACGATGTAGCACAAGAATTAAGGTGAGAAAACTGAAACGAGTATAAACATTTAGGCATCGCCGCACACTTGCCCGCACCATTAGCCCCATGATGTCAAAGTCTGTGGTGCGTGCGTGGCGCGCGCGATAGTGTTAAATTTACATTTTTATATTTTTTTGAGATTGCAAAGATTTAATAAAAGCATAATGAAGAAATGTTAACTATGCTCACCATGCTTCCTTGTAAGCATATAGAACATAGCCGGAGAACAACAAATGCAAGTTGACGTAATATTAAAACTTTCTCATGTATACTCGTTGTGTACATGTTTATGTATAACTTGTCTTTGTGGAATTTTAAGGTATTATGTATTGGCTGTAAGAAAATAATCAATATCAATTAAAATTTGTGTGTCATCATTAGCAAGGGGAGTAAAGTCATCAGTTATCAGCCAGCTGTGGTTACTGGTCACCTGTGGTTAAACAAATCTATTGCCTAAAGTATAAATAAAACTAAATCAAGGAAATTTCAGAAACACTGAATATATGAGTCAGGAAAAATGGTCAGTTCTAGATATTGGTAAAGCTGATTTGAGATATTACCACTTGACATGCACATAGGATAAATTATGGTAAGCATTAGCTCTTTCCACAAACAAAATTCAAATTTTTTCTTCTTCTTCTTGTATTGTTAAAAACCATGTCCTAAGCATTGTGGAAAAAAAAGTGTCACTTATCAAGATGGGGGATGTTTACTAGAGACTGCAAATACATGTGATGACACATTAGAAAACTTCTCTTATTGAGAAAACTGTAGTAGTGGTAATTTGAAAAGTACTGTACCTAAAATGTCTTTGGATGATATACACATCATTGGTCAGTCTTCTTAACACTTTCAGCCTCCCGGCGAAGGTAAAAAAAAAACCGTATGTGCTCCCGGCGTTTTGCCGCGTAAGCGTAAAAACAAAAATGTGTATACTCTTTTTACTCTCCTGACCTTAGTTCTCGAGCTACGTATTTCATTTTGGTACCAACGTGTTCGCAATAAAATTCTCTAGAAGAACATCAGTAAAAAAAGTCACGAAACGTATAGGGATACCAGCACCAAATAAATAACTACGAAGATGACTCGCCGTGAGCGCCCAACAGCAACAAAATGTTTTTACTCTTGGGATTGTTATCACCTCCACACTTGTCCTACAGCGTTAATTTTGGTATCAATGGACTCTCAATGAAATTCCCAACACGGTGATATGAATTTAAGCGTAGAATAATGATTGCGGCCCGCCCGCAAGAGTGTGGGAAGTGGTGAAATTGTTACCCGGTATCGGTGACGGGACGACGCACAGCGCTTTGAAAGTTTATACTTATTTCACTCTCATGACATTATTATTCTATGTACGTCATTCATTTTTGTGTCAATGTGTTCGCAATAGAATGTTCTATGAGCCCGTAGGTAAAAAAGATCAACAAAGCGTAAGATAGAATAGCGCCAAATATAAAACAACGCTGGAACATATCAGTGAGAGTCAAACACACACGAAATGTTTTTACTTTTGTTATGTTTGTGAACCTTTCATGAACTTATTGTACCATGCAGCCTATTGGTGAGAAAGAGAGCCTCATGGCGCGCAGTTTGAAACAAACCCAAAGTAAATCGGATAAAAATTGAATTTTATACAAATATTTTAAAAGAGGACATAAATTTATGTCCACTTAGCGGGAGCGGGTAGGCGAAACAGGACGCCAGGAGGAGTCCTCAGCCGCAGAAAGTGTTAAAATGACATCAATACCATAGGTCAGTCTTAAATCATGTGCACATCATTGGTTGATCATAACATTTTATGTGCACTGTAGGTAAATTCTCTTAAGATGGTATGCACACCATGGGTCGATCTTAAAAGATGAGGGGTGCATGACAAGGGGTAGGGCATCCTACCGCTTAAGCTACTGCACTTCGTCTTTGGTCGGGTTCCCACAAAGGAATTAAATAAATTAACAAATAAAAATAGGTTCACTTCCTTTAATTGTATTTCTAGTGAGAAATATTTGCTGTTTCTATCTGTACCATTCAAATCTTTACAAAAATGGTTTTCATAGCTAAAAAAATTATTCTAACATTTTGTAATGAGAAACATTATCCAAGACAAAGCAATTTATAGTAAATACGGCATAATCATTAAGCAAAGTCTAGATGGCAAAGGATTTTATTCTATAATTAATTTACCTTTACATTCTTATCATATTTTTAAAGGAAAAATTAATACGCAGTCAATTGGGGAGCCACCGGAGCTTGACCAGAATGAGGCATTTCATTACATTGAACGCTTTTCTTTTTGTTTACCCACTCCACTTAGAATGCTAGATGCTAGTGCTCTCGTGAGGAATACTGTTGAACAATGACAGCTCCTTTCAAAGCTGGAGAAATTGCTAAAGGGAGAGCCTCTTCAAACCTGGAGAGCATGTAGAGATCCTTTACTGCTAAAATCCACTCGGTAAAACATCTAAACTACTGGGACCGACTAAAATGCCTAAATCTGCATTTTCTTAAGGGGCCATAATGCGATATATTCAGAGTAGTTCAATGTCAGCCAAACTTTTTTGACTAGTTGTATATGAAAAGGGCTGCAATTGTTCCAAGTTTCAGTATTGCAGCCTAAATAGAAAGGGAGATTTTTTTTTTTTTTTTCAACGAATTTTACACATTTTCAAATCGAAACTACAACCACTAGTTTCAAATGAAGTCATTTCTATGACAATTTTCTATCACATTAGCATATAATAAAAGGATCTGTTTCAGCAGATTTTTAAAAATATGTTTAGTTTTACTAATACAAATAGTCAAAGTTCCATAAAAAATTATGCAAATACTGTATATCATGGTTTATTACTATTATATAATCAATAAATGAACTTAGGAAAAAAAAGCTTGAAATGGATTTGTAGAAACATAAACTCTACATATAAAGTGTGAGTTTCATGTAAATTGAATAAAAAATGAGAGTTATAGGAACGTTTGTTGCTTGAAAATAAATAAGTAAAAAATAAAGTCTAAGGTGCTGCCATCTGTGGCTGAGATTGACATAAACCAATTTCCTCCATCTGGGGTAGCCCCGTCGGCTCCCCAGAGCTATCCAAGCTGGATGGATATGTATATCTGTCTGACATCAGTCAATGCATGGAGTTCTTGCCTACTAGAGACCACGAGCCAGAACCTGGCCCCCTCTAGAGAGGCACGAGGAGCAATGGCCTATAGAGACCCCTCCCTGTGGTTGGGAGCATTCTATGTCTGCCATCGATCGGGACAGGCACCCAGAAAGGTAGGTGCCCCAAAACAACCCCTATTCTGGTAAAATTATTGCGACCGGAAGCCGAACAGGTGAACAGAACTCCTCAAACAAAAATTAGCAAACTAGCATGACATCATCATGTTGTCGTGCCGCTGTCTGCACAATCCCCCTCCCCAGAAGGGTGGAAGGGGGAGCCCCAGACCCATCCGCCAGCGACCCAATCTATAGTTCTTGGCTGATAGAAGTCTGGTGCCGTCGTGTCTCTGGCTCCAGTTTTTCGTTGCATTTCTGTAGCTTGTGGTGTAGGCTGTCCCTTCAGATGGTGCGTGAGCTGGGAGTGATATTCCATGGTACTCGGGCTGCATGCACCTAGGGTCTCCTTCCCTAGGTGCCCCGTAAGTACTGCCCTTGGGGCCACCTTCCACAAGTCACCTCGGGATCTACCTCTGCTGTGCCGTTTACTGCTCGGTATTTGGCTGCCCTTGGGGTCAGCTGGGGTTTTGTTGCCCTTGTTTGTCTCTGGGTAGGGGTAGTTTTCGTCACTGGCAGGGACGCAGGGTACTGCACAACTAGTTTTCACCATAAACAGCAGCCGGCTCTGTTCCGCCTGGGTACACTATCCTCTTGCAGGGTTTTTCTTTTGTTTTTATTTTCTGCCTGGTGGGGGGGGGTCTGCCGTTGTCATCCCCCATTGCTGTTCTTGGGGTGTATATATCTCTCTCCTTTTGTGTTGGGTGGTCCTCCCCGCTTGGCCCCCTGTGAGTGGACACGTCCCGGGGGTTCAGCTTCATTAGTTTGTTGGTAGATTTGGGCGCCAGTTCGCAGTACCCTGCCTGGGCTTCCCTTAGCATGTTACCGAGGCTAAGGGCCCTGGGAAACCTCACGGGGGCTACGTGGTCCGATGGATGTGACCCCTGAGTCCCCTCTCGCTTCTTGCAAGATTGAAGGTTGCTCTGTCCCCTTGTCTCAGGGTGACACTCACCGGTTTTGCCTCTGCCATGCTGCTTATTGGGTCGGTGATTGTTTTGACTCGGAGTTGTGCGAAGTATGTTGTCTGTTCGTATTCTAGTTCACCCAAGCCACTGATGATGATATGCGGGTGCAGGCAGCTAAGGTGTTGCATGCTAGATTTAGGTTGCTGCAACGCACTCGGTTGCGACCCCGAATGCTCCTTGACTGCCCCGTTTTAGTTATAGAGACCCGGACTTGGGGGTGGGAGTCGCTTCGGCTCTGGTTCCGTCTGCCCCTCCTAGTCCTTCCCCGTTGGTAGTTCATTCGATCCCCTCCCTTTGTTTCTGGCTCCGAAGCGTCTGAGGGTTTCGGAGTCGGGGCAGAGTCTAGTTGGTGTTGAGATTTGGGCGGTCTCGGGGGTGTCCCCTTCTGGGATTGCGGCAGAGGCATTCGAGCCTGATTCTTCTGCAGAAGCTTCTGGGTCTGGCCAGTGGGCGGCATTCGTTCCTGCTTTTTCGGCGGCTCTCGCCTTTTCTTTGGAGGTGGGGAGTTTGGAGGCCGACTCGGCCCCGGGTCCTCAGGGTGAGGTTCCCGGGGTTGGGGAGGGGTTGGCTTGGGGGCCTTGGGCCCCGTTGGACCCTGCCCCCGGGTTCGGTTCTGTGATCCTGCGGGTTCTTCTGTTCCGTCTTTTTGGAGATTTCCGTCTCGTCTTCTGAGATGCGGGAGGCCTTGGCGGTTTACCTCCTGTGTGACCCGGATTATGCCTTCGTGATGGATACGCATCCATCATGAAGGCATGGATATGCATGGTTGGCAGACTGTCCTCTTTTTTCGTTGAAGGCTTGGCACGTGTTCTGTCGATCCTGTGCGCTTGAGTGGCGAGAGACTCAGTCGGCGTTTCAGTTTTTCGTGGGGGCGACTTCGAGCATCTCAATGCTTGTTTGTTCGCCCCTGCCCTTCCGCGGGATGTTGGTGCCATACAGCTTCATGTGCAGATTTCTTTCCTTTCAGCTGCCTTGATTGCGGAGGATTTGCGTACTCGTGGCCTGCTTGCTTCAGCCCTGCATTTCTTTTCCCTCTTTGAGTTGTCCTCGGACTGGCTTGAGTTGGATGTGGGGGCTCTTGGGGCTGCTGCCGGGTCCGGTGCGCTGCCTTCTGCGGTGTAGGCGTCGTCTACTTTGTTGGAGCTCTTCGCGCCACTCCTGCGTGATGCAGTTTCGCGGTTCTATGCTTCTTGCCTCGCGTGTCGGCAGGCAGTGCTGGTTTCTTCCTTGGATTCCACTTGGGCCCTGGCTTTTTGGTTGTCTTCGCCTTTTTGTCCGTTGCTGTTTGCTGAGTCTGCTGTGGTGCAATACCTGCAGGCGGCCTCAGTTAGTTGTCGGCCTATGTCTGAGTTGTTGTTGCCCTGGGGGGCTCGGGGATCCTTACGTCGTGGTAGGCCAGTGGTGCCACATTCAGGGCAGGTGCAGCCTCCGGTTCCAGCTGTTTCTGGTCGGCGTGGGGATCGCCTTCTTCGTCACTTGGGTTCTCGCAAGGCACGTCGGCCCTATCGCGGTTCGTCCCATTGACGGGGCGATGGGGGGGGGGGGGGCGGCTCGCCCTGTTTGCTCGCGCCTGGTCCCACACTTGGTGTGGTTTTCGGGTCGTTTCCTGCGGCCTGTGGTGGCGTTTGATGGCTCCTCCTCCCTTGGTGGGTTCAGGGCTGGCAGGGCAGGCCTCTTCTCCTGCGCTCTGTCAGGTCATCTCAGAGTGGGTTCGCTTGGGCGTGGTCGAAACGACGGCGTCCCTCAGGTGGATTTCCCACCTGTTTCCGGTCCCGAAACGAGACTGCGCTGACCTCCGGTTCATTCTGGACTTGTCCCGTCTGAACCCATAGGTTTATTGACCCTCCTTCAGGATGACTACTCTATCCTAGGTCCATCTTCTGTTGGAGCCGGGCACTTGGATGGTGTCCCTGGACCTCAAGGACGTATATTGGCACGTCCCGGTTCACCCAAGGTTCAGGGACTGGCTCGGTTTTGTTGTAGGGCATCAAGGTTACCGCTTTCGTTGTCTTCCCTTCGGGTTGAATCTGGCGCCTCGCGTTTTCACATGCCTCACGCGGGTTGTGGTGTCCCGCCTGCGTCTGTTAGGTGTTTGGGTTCTGGCCTACCTCGACGACTGGCTGGTTTGGGCTCCCAGCCAGTCCGCGTGTCTGCTCGCCAGGGATTTGGTTCTTTCCCAACTCGCCAGGTTTGGGTTCTTGGCGAACTGGAGGAAGTTCCATCTGGTTCCCTCTCATTTTCGGTCATGGCTGGGTCTGGTTTGGGATGCTCGCATTGCTTCCTTGTCTCTGCCTCCGGCAGCTCCGCCTTCGCCTGTTTCTGAGGGGTTCCCAGGGTCACGAGGCGGTTGCTTGAGAGTTTGTACGGGAGCCTGAACTTTGCCATGTTGGTCTGGAGCCAGTCGGCTGAGCGGACAGCATGCTGAACTTGTGATCCTGTGGTTCCGGGTTCGATCCCCGGACGCCGGCGAGAAACAATGGGCAGAGTTTCTTTCACCCTATGCCCCTGTTACCTAGCAGTAAAATAGGTACCTGGGTGTTAGTCAGCTGTTACGGGCTGCTTCCTGGGGGTGGAGGCCTGGTCGAGGACTGGGCCGCGGGGACACTAAAGCCCCGAAATCATCTCAAGATAACCTCAAGATGAGTTACATGTAAATGATGTAACAGGGGCTGTCTTGTATGGGCCTGTAGGCCTTCTACAATTGTATTCTAATGTTCTTATGTACCTGGGCTGTTATTTTGAATGTTAATCACAATAATGTTTATGTAGCTCATTCTCTTATTTGCCACTCTATAAAAATAAAATGGTTTGACCTAACCAAAAATATATGAACCCAAGCAACACCTAACCTATTGAGGCCAATGTGTAGAAAATGTCAGTATTACAGGGATTTTATTTTTGACAATATTTTGCATTTTGAATGGATTGGACCATACTGTAAAAAATACGATGCAATAAGTGAGAGGTCAGGTTGGTTTATGACTGTAGGAAGCCTGATCAACAACGCTGTTCGACTGTGATAAATGCTGAATGGGGGTCTCGATAACATGCTTTTCCATTTATCTTAGTCTTGTCTCGTGTTATACTTCTTCTCGTGTTATTAAACGCTTTCTCTTTTCTTCACAAATTTATTTCCAACACTTTTCTGAGGTAATTATTGCAGTGCCAAGGTGCAAAATGTGCCAAAAAAGATTTCAGTGTTTTGGTCTGTAACTTTAACAGTTCAAAAGATTGAATTACTGTATAGAAGGTCACAAGCCTTCTGTTGTATATATTTTGGACTGTGGTGCACCGTATTTATGAAAAGGTCATTGGACTGTGAGCACTATGATGCAGTTTGTGAAAAATGGGTTTAAAAAAAAAGCATACTTTCACACCATAGATGTATGTAATGGATCTTTAAAAAAAAAAAGTCTTTAAAGTTAAATTTGTTAATATTGAAACATTCATTTTCAGCCATGGCAGTGGAAGCTTCAATCAATTCTAAGAAAGCCGCACCTGTCTTCAAACAGAACATAATAGGGAAAGGCATTAGTACATTAGATGACTTTAACGACTTTAGCGCAGTAAGTAGTTATCTTATTGGTCTTCACAAGCTTGGGTATCTTTGCAGAGAATGAGTCCCAATAACGTGTCTTAAAACAAACAACCCAACCCTCACATGTGGAATGAAATAAAGAGTCAAGAATTTACTTAATTTTTGTTACCCACGAGTCCCCACTTGATACAAGATGGAGGCAAATGTTGTCACATTCATTTTGTTTTGTGTGTGCATTGGGTTGTTTATTTGCATGTTTTTCTTAAGGGATATTTTAAGTTACTGTATATGAGTTCTTTATCAAATAATTAATGGTGCATCTCTTTTTTTTTATAAAACAATGTGAAACAAATTATTGTTTTGTTCCAAGTGCTCATCACCACCAAGTAATATTTGAATTATAATGTTTTTCATTGAATAAGAGATTGATATGTTTGCTTAAGGATTTGTAGTACAATTTACTTAGCAGATGATGATGTATGACTTGAGCTTTATATGAAATAATCCTATGTCCTTCGGTGAACATTAATGCAGAACAAATGCACACTACAACCTCATTAAGAAAATGATGACATTTTGGTCCATCACAGACAATTATCAGGTTGTGATGGTCCAGAGTGGACTGATGGTCCAGTGTGGACTGATGGTCCGGTGTGGACTGATGGTCCGGTGTGGACTGATGGTCCAGTGTGGACTAATGGTCCGGTGTGGACTGATGGTCTGGTGTGGACTGATGGTCTGGTGTGGACTGATGGTCCAGTGTGGACTGATGGTCCGGTGTGGACTGATGGTCCGGTGTGGACTGATGGTCCGGTGTGGACTGATGGTCCAGTGTGGACTGATGGTCCGGTGTGGACTGATGGTCCGGTGTGGACTGATGGTCCGGTGTGGACTGATGGTCCAGTGTGGACTGATGGTCCAGTGTGGACTGATGGTCCGGTGTGGACTGATGGTCCGGTGTGGACTGATGGTCCGGTGTGGACTGATGGAGCTCCAGGGAGCCTCCGGGGCTCACCCAGAAAATGGTGTTTCATTACATTCAACGCTGGTTTTTTACTGTTTTACAGTATTGTAATGAAATTTAAATAAACAAGATAGCAAATTTTAATTTTAACATTTTGTAAAAAAAAATTACTATTTTGTTTTTAAATTTTAACATAATAAATAATTTAATAATAAATTTATTTAATTTTAAATAAAATTTAATTAATTGTAATAATTACGTTTTTATCTTTCAGTCTAAATCAAAATCGTCTGAACCACGAGAACGACATCATCCGCCAGAACCTTTTCCTGCATTCAAACAGCCCGAAACCTCAATAGGCCTCCCTACTCCAAGTTTATTTTCATATCCACCTCCCTTTACTACTTCAGTCAGCAGTAGCCAGCCGTCTCCAATTGGTCAGACTCCACCGCCTCAATCACGAGCTTCTCCAATGCCCGATTTCCAGTCCTTTAAATCTTTTGATGCCATTAAGGAAAGGGCATCTCCCATGTCAAAAATGCAAGCAGTTGATGCTAATTCTAACCCAATACAAGAATCCAATCATGTGAGACCAGAGGCAAGTATTCTCTTGTGGCCTGTTTATGTACCGGGTATATATTTTTGTCTATTTACAAAAATTAGGTGTCACGTTTACTAGTAAGTTGGGTTGCGTCAGTACAGATTTTTTTGATGGGTTGGTATATTCTCTCACTAACAAGTATTGTTACAGTAACTTACATTTTATGTTAAGGACTAAATAATCAAACTCTTAACAACAGCAAATGAGTGATTACCATTTGTATATATTTACAGGCAAAGTGTGTGCTATGTACAGTTATAAGCTTTGACTTGTATATATACCTGGAGCATACCTGGAGAGGGGTTCCGGGAGTTCTTCTACTCCCCGAGCCCGTCCCCATATAGGACTGCCTGCCCCTGGCACTCATATTAGTCTAAATACATGGTGTGTGTATATTTACACTCATATCTGTAGTTACTTATACTGTATTTTCAAAGTTATACATATTGGACACCCGCTTTGACCCCATCAATACAATCTGTTAGCATGAAAAAACTAAATTAAGTGAGAAATGGGGACATTAGGGACATCAAATGGGGACAGACGGCTGCGCCCATGCTGCGCAGACAGTGGCGTGGTGGCGTCATGCTCGTTTGCTTGTTTTGTTTTGCGAAGTTCTATCCACTTGTTTGGCTTTTGGTAGCAATTTTCACCAGATTAGGGGTTTGTTTTGGGACGCTTACCTTTCTGGGTGCCTAACCCGGTCGATGGCAGACATAGAATGCTTCCAACCACACGTGGGTTTCTATAGGCCATTGCTCCCCTTGCCTCTCTGAGGGGGCCAGGTTATGGCTCGTGGTACCCCATTAGGCCCACAGAACTCCATACACATGACTGATGCCAAAGTCTGACATTAGCATATCAGCCTAGTAAGGTTTGGGAAACCGGGTGTCACCCAGAAAATGGCGTTTCATTACATTTAACGCTGGGTTTTTTCATTTGCACTTGGATGTTATACTTTGAAATGGTTAAGTGCATTGATTCTCAGCCGGTGGGGTCACGATCCTCCTTGGGAGTCTTTAGAGTATTAGAAAATGAGTGTGTTCCTGAAAAATGTTAGCAAGCACTGGCTTAGCAGTTTAATGATTAAGGTCTATTTGTGCAGCTTGTTCTCTCAAGTGTTCACAACATCACTAAACTGATGCACTAAATTCCTCGAACCTAACCAAGGACCTACAAACAGAAAATGGGACATCACGTCAATTTTGCGATGTACTATTCGAGAGAATGGGTTGATTTGTGATACTGTCTAAAATAATTGTTGGTTTAAATAATTGCTCCATGACTATCCATATTGCTAGATTTAACGTCTAAGGTTGCTGATCGATCCTGTTAAACTGGCAACTCGCTCATATGAGACTTAAGTGATAATGTATAATTAGATAATTATTAACTACATGTACTCTATAAATGTCTCCAAATTTGATTATAGTGTCAAGTTCCATCTTTATTGGGGTGTTCAGTGTGTTGGTAGTCATGGATATAGGATTTGTATCAGAAAGAAAAATTGTAAGAGTTAATAATTAACCAGAACATTCACAAATACTGTTTAATAATTTACTATACTAGAAGAAATAGTTAAAAAAATACTGCTCTTATTATGAATTAGAACAGAATTGGCAAATGCCAAACAAAATCAAATACAGTAATTAATTAATAAAGCTTGGACAGGAGAAAGTGGACAGGGTATCTCTAACTGATGTCTCTTCCTTGCAGAAGGATCCCGCGTTGTGTAATATATGTGGCGCTGCTTTCGATGAGTGGCAGCACAAACCCAAGATTCTCAGCTGTGGTCATACATTTTGCTGTGACTGTCTAATCAGTTTAGCTCGCGATACTGAGGTCAAGTGTCCCATGGGTTGTACCTACACCACTTCGCTAACCGAGACTGGTATATCTGGTGAGTGGCACTCTGCGCTAACCGAGATGGGTATATCTGGTGAGTGGCACTCTGCTTGCACCATCCACTCTCCCTCTGCGCTAACCGAGATGGGTATATCTGGTGAGTGGCACTCTGCTTGCACCATACACACTCCCACTACATTAATCAAGACTGGTATATCTGGTGAGTGGCACTCTGCTTGCACCATACACATTCTGGTATATCTGGTGAATGGCACTCTACTTGCACCATACACTTGCTGGTATATCTGATGAGTGGCACTCTGCTTGCACCATACACTTGCTGGTATATCTGATGAGTGGCACTCTACTTGCACCATACACTTGCTGATATATCTGGTGAGTGGCACTCTACTTGCACTATACACTTGCTGATATATCTGGTGAGTGGCACTCTGCTTGCACCATACATGCATGTTCAGGGGTTTATATGTGTGCTGCCCTCTGGCAGATCAAGACACATGGATGTTTATAAAATAATCTTTGTTCAGGTGTTTATTTAATTATTGTATGTTTTGTTTTTCCTTGTTAATGTTTGCAAATAATTGGCCAGTTGTATGATAAAAATAAAAGGTTTGCATAACTCACATGATACCAGCACATTCCTGTCCCACACCCTAAGTAAACATGGTGAGAGTGGGTAGGTGGAGGACTGAACATGAATGTTAATAATCCTTTTACATTTCTTCAGCTGTTTGTCATTTGTTATTAGTTAAATAGCACGTCAAGCTAAGCACTAGTCTAACCAAACATTGGGGAACTGCACCAGGCCTCTAAGACCCACCCTTGCCTACCAGGATGCAGCACCAGAGTCTGGCTCTCTCTCTTATGAGGAGAGGAAAGCGTGGAGATCTGAGATCAACCCAAAACCAAAATAATCCCACCAGAAAGCATTTTTGCAACTAAGCAAGTAACTTCTTGAAGAAAATTAGGTATTCTCAAGTAACAAAGCAAACAATCATTGCTTCAGTGTAAACACTTTAACTGTGATATGCCTGACCCAGGTTTGTGCCATGTGGCAGCCCAGGTTTTATCCAGGATCCCCATGGTACCAGTTAGTCTGTTCCCCCACTCACTCTCCTTTGTCACATGCTCAGAGGGCATGGTACCTCTGACAATGCCTGTCTTCTGCTTCATGCTTAAGCTAAGTGTTGATGGCTCTTCCTTAAACATTATTTCTTCCAAGGGCCATTGCTTTATTATTGTTTCTCTTCACCACATGTCTGATTGTGTTTCCACTGTGTGTATGTCTTTGCTTCACATTTTGTTCCAACTGAGAGCCAGGGTTTCCTTCCTTTGTAGTTGGCTTGTAATTTTATCACTTAAACAGAGATACCTGCTCTGAAGAGTTCAAGTTGCTTCTCTACAAGCTGACTCCTCTTATGCCACCTTGCTTCTGGGTAGTGTATGGGACTTGTTGTCTACTGCAAGGCCTGTTGATGAATATAGAGGTTAGCTGTTCATTTTTCTAACACACTGAAGTGGCACCTAACCCTGCTTCTTTTGTGTATGGTGGTTTGTTCTTTCACTTGGGTCACATAGATGACTGTCCTGTCCAAGGCTTTGTGCACCCTTCTCTGCCTGGTGTTTATGACTGAGGTTCATCTGCCTGCCTGCATGTTGGTTTGGGTAACTAGTCTTGTCTAGCTACCCAAACCAACATGTTTGAGTCTTGTTTATGTTCTCAAGCAGCTTGTTTTTTAAGTTCTCAGTCCATTTCTGTACCTGACTATGGTTTCATCACAAGAGCTGCTGTCTTTGCTAGTGGATGCAAGACTGGCCACTTCCAGTACCAGTGGACTTCCCTTGGTGTTTTCTTTGCAGCTCATGTTTGGGCTCAGGGCTTGTTTTGGGAGTTCCACCTGGGTTTACCTTTGACTCTGCTTATGGTTGTCCCTTGCTTCACCATGCCTGTGTTGCACCCTTGTGTTTGGTACACTTCCAGTGCTTCCTCTCGTCTTCTGTTGTCTTCCCCCATAAGTTGAGCCTGGCCTCGGACTGGGCTCGGGAAGAATTCCCAGAACCCTCTCCAAGTATGCTCCAAGTCAGTCCTGGCGGCATTTTTGTTTCTTTCTTTCAAGGAAGAAGCATCTAAATTATTGGGATCGTCTCAAAGCTCTCCGAATGTTCTCACTAGAAAGACAACGGGAGAGATATCAAATAATCTACACATGGAAAATATTGGAGGGGCCAGGTCCCAAATCTGCACAGTAAAATAACAACGTACTGGAGTGAATGATATGGAAGAAAATGCAGAATGGAACCAGTGAAGAGCAGGGATGCCATAGGCACAATTAGAGAAAACTGTATAAACATCAGAGGTCCACTATTGTTCAACATAATCCCAGTGAGCAGAAATATTGCCGTACATCTTCAAGGTGTACGGCAATAATTAAGGTGGTTCAAGGTTCTCCGAGGAGTGCCGGACCAACCGGGCTGGGTGGGTATGTGGGCCTGCGGGCCGCTGCAAGCAACAGCCTAGTGGACTAAACTCTCACTAGTTAAGCCTGGCCTCAGGCCGGGCTTGGGGAGTAGAAGAACTCCCAGAACTCCATCAACCAGATATCAGCTGCCATCTGGTGGCTGTCAAGTATATTAAGTTAGAGTGTTTACCTCACAGTAACAATTGTATACCTTATTACCTCTGTTTTCTTTATTTTCTTCAAGTAGTTGATTGTTTTCTTGCATCTCTTCATTCTGTTTTTCTTCAGTTTTGGGTTGATCTCCAAGCTTCCCTCTCCTCACAGATTGTCGGTCTGGTCGAGGATCTCAGTGTTCAAGAAATGGGTCTCAGCTTAGGCCCAGTGCACCTGCCTTAGGCTTGGCTGAACCAGCACTTGGTTCAGGGAACTACTGAGGGCCTATCAGAATTTTTGTTTCAATAGTCATCTTTTTGTTTTTTTATTCACATAACAATCCTTAACCTGTTGAATCTAATTTATGACAGGAGAATACTTGTATGGACACATTACAAGCCAAGGACTTGGTACAGTAAAGCATATATGACTAGGTCTCCCCTCATTTAAGCTTGGAACAATAATATGCTCATTGTTCATTTATATTCCTACCACTATTCTAGCATTTTCTCAGTCTGGCATTAAACTTGGTCTAACATTTATGAAAGAATAACTCAGAATTATCCATTGACCATGGACTTGACATCAACCTTTGTTCACCATAATTAAAAACTCAGTAGGCCAAACTTAGGTCTCGGGAACATTGCCTGCTTTGGGGTATTCAACTTTCCCATCGGCACAGCACCAAATGCCAGTGGTGTTCAGTATCGAAAACTAAAGACAATCCTGAAGGTGGTCATGTAATCAAGAGATGGGTATTGGTTTTTGACAATACTGTACAGTTGAGTTATTGGGTCATTGGACAAAACTCATTTGCCAGGCTGTGTTAAGAACTGAAGAAAACAGAAATATGAGGAACCTCCCTTTAATTAGTGAACCTTGCAGTATGTGTACAGTTTATATTGGGTGTAGAAATACTTCAGAGTTGAACTTTACATAGGTTGCACAGACTTTTCTTCTATTATCTGAAGGGTTCCTTTTCAGGTTTAACAACCAATTACACTGTGCCAATTAAAAAGCTTGCCAGTATATCTTCGTCTCTGCCAATCCTGCCTCCAAGCTTCAGTCAGCTTAACGGAGCACAAAGGTATTTATGTTTTATATATTATGTTATTTAAAAGACGTTCAGAATTATCATCAGCTTTGAGAGAGAGAACAAATAACAATCTGATCTTCATCTTTAGTTTTGTGATAATGGTATTTTGTATTTATTATTATTCATGTGACATTTGTGTAAATGACTAAATTTGTTTTTATTATTCAGAAGGCTTTGTAATACATTGCAGCCATACTCACTTAAGTCTTCTTAGACTATATTATAAGGTGACAATATCTTTGGTAACAGGCCTGGCAGTAGCCCTTCACCCATGATATGTTGCACCTGTCTAAAAATTGTGTCAAATGACATGTGTAGTAATCAAGGCCACCAGCTAATTCCCGAAGACCAGGCTAAGGACATTCTCCGAGGCCATCTACAAACATCCCAAGATTTGACTCTCAAGCAGCTGCGACAAACTATGACAATGAGAGCCACTATGAAGGAACGGCTTGAACGCACTGTTCTTAGTGTGGAGAAATTCCTTGAAGAGCTTCGTAGAAAGGTAAGACTATAGTTTCTAAAACAATTACGCCCAAATTTACACCCATATAATCTACATGGTATGTAAATTACTACTTACCGAGTTATGCTGTCAAAGTTCAAATCTACGTGTATTTGCATGGCATTTTATAAAAACATGCCATATAATTTGGTTTTAAATATGCTCAGTGGGTTTCCATTAGCTCAAATTCCTATTTTTAATATTGAACCTTCTGCAAACTTGCACTGTGGTACTTTGGATGAAAATCTCTTGAGACTCGTGTGGACATCATGGGTGCTATCAGTTTCCTCTCATTCTAGGAAGTGCTTTTGTTTTCCCAGTGAGAACAATATTCCCTTTTTCAAAGAGGTTGACCGTCTCTCACTGATTTATTTTTATTTTTTATCTGCATTGAATATTTACTTTTTACTGTATTGGTATTTTTAAATTAGTGTTATTTCTTAACTTTTTCTCTACAGTAGTCGGTTATGGTTATCTCACAAAAAAGTGGCATTCCCTGGTTGATACCTGGTTGATACCTGGTTGATGGGGTTCTGGGAGTTCTTCTACTCCCCAAGCCCGGCCCGAGGCCAGGCTCGACTTGTGAGAGTTTGGTCCACCAGGCTGTTGCTTGGAGCGGCCCGCAGGGCCACGTACCCACCACAGCCCGGCTGATCCGGAACTTCTCTTAGAAAACCGTCCAGTTTTCTCTTGAAGATGTCCACGGTTGTTCCGGCAATATTTCTTATGCTCGCTGGGAGGACGTTGAACAACCGCGGACCCCTGATGTTTATACAGTGCTCTCTGATTGTGCCTATGACACCTCTGCTCTTCACAGGTTCAATCTTGCATTTTCTTCCATATCGTTCACTCCAGTACGTTGTTATTTTACTGTGTAGATTTGGGACCTGACCCTCCAGTATTTTCCAGGTGTATATTATTTGGTATCTCTCTCGTCTCCTTTCTAGAGAGTACATTTGGAGAGCTTTGAGACGATCCCAATAATTTAGGTGTTTTATCTCGTCTATGCGTGCCGTATATGTTCTCTGTATTCCCTCTATTTCAGCAATCTCTTCTGCTCTGAAGGGGGAAGTGAGTACTGAGCAGTACTCGAGACGGGACAGCACAAGTGACTTGAAGAGTACAACCATTGTGATGGGATCCCTGGATTTGAAAGTTCTCGTAATCCATCCGATCATTTTTCTGGCTGACGCGATATTTGCTTGGTTATGCTCCCTAAACGTTAGATCGTCGGACATCATTATTCCCAAATCCTTGACATGCTGTTTTCCTACTATGGGAAGATTCGATTGTGTTTTGTACCCTGTATTATGTTTCAGATCCTCATTTTTGCCGTACCTGAGTACCTGAAATTTATCACTGTTAAACATCATGTTATTTTCTGCTGCCCAATCAAAAACTTTGTTGACATCTGCTTGTAGTTTTTCAATGTCTTCAGCAGAGGTAATTTTCATGCTGATTTTTGTGTCATCTGCAAAGGACGACACGAAGCTGTGGCGTGTATTTTTGTCTATATCAGATATGAGAATAAGGAACAGTAGCGGTGCAAGGACTGTACCTTGAGGTACAGAGCTTTTAACATCGCTTGGACTCGATTTTATCTGATTGACTGTTACTCTTTGTGTTCTGTTCGACAGGAAATTGAGTATCCAGCGTCCTACTTTTCCAGTTATTCCCATTGACCTCATTTTGTGAGCTATCACCCCATGGTCACATTTGTCGAACGCCTTTGCAAAGTCTGTGTATACAACATCTGCATTTTGCTTTTCTTCTAGGGCTTCTGTGATTTTGTCATAGTGGTTGAGTAACTGTGACAGACAGGATCTTCCCGCTCTAAATCCATGTTGTCCTGGATTGTGCAATTCATTGTTTTCCATAAAACTAGAAATTTGATTCCTAATCACTCTTTCAAACACTTTTATTATGTGTGATGTTAGTGCAACTGGCCTATAATTTTTTGCCAAGGCTTTACTCCCCCCCTTGTGCAACGGAGCTATATCTGCAGATTTAAGTGCTGCTGGTATCTCCCCTGTATCCAGGCTCTTTCTCCATATTACGCTGAGTGCTCTCGCTACTGGTACTTTACATTTCTTTATGAATATTGAATTCCATGAGTCAGGCCCAGGAGCTGAGTGCATAGGCATATTATCAATTTCTCTTTCAAAGTCTTCCGAGTTTGTGGTAATATCCGTTATATTATCTGCAGCTTGAATGTCATTCATAAAGAAGCTGTCTGGGTCATCAACTTTCATGTTGTTTATTGGTGTGCTAAACATAGCCTCATACTGGCTTCTGTGAATTTCACTAATCTCTTTGTTGTCCTCTGTGTACGTACCTTCATTTGTAATTAACGGTCCAATACTGGTCGAGGTTTTGGATTTTGATTTTGCGTATGTGAAAAAATATTTCGGATTTTTCCTTATCTCTTGTATAGCTTTCTGTTCCAATTCCATTTCCTCAGACTCATATGATCGCTTCAACGTTTGTTCTATTTCCTCAATCTCCCTGCTTAGGCTTGTTTTCCTTGCTTGTGATAGTTGTGTCTGCCGAAGCATTTCCGTTATTTTTTTCCTTCTCCTGTACAGTCGTCTGCGTTCTCTTTCTAGAGTGGTCCTCTTTCTGCCCCTCCTCACAGGTACGTGCTTCAAGCAGACCTTGTAAGCTTCAGCTGTCAGTTGAGCTATTCCCTGTGTGGGAGTTTTGTCGCTTAAGACCGTCTCCCATTGAATGGTTGCAAGGTCTACATTTATTTTTTCCCAGTCAATCCTCTTATTGTTGAAATTGAATTGATTGAATATTCCTTCTCGCTTGTTGGGTCTCTTAGACCTACTACCGTTATTTATGCTAGTTCGCACTTCAATGAGCTTATGGTCTGAGTATGAAGTATCTGAGATTGTGATATCCCTGATTAGTTCATCATTGTTTGTGAATAACAAGTCTAGTGTGTTTTCGTTCCTAGTTGGTTCTGTAATCTGTTGATTGAGCGAGAATTTGTCACAGAATCTCAAAAGTTCTCTAACCTGTGGTTGGTTATTTCCCGGGTCATTCCCTGCTATGATATTTGTGTCCCTGCCATAATCGATCATTTTAAATGCCTACAAAAAAAGTTTCAAAATCATGTAATGTTCAAACATGTCCTTTGGCTTTCAAAACTGACACCAAAGCCTAACAAATGTATTGACACCTGTTGGTAATAGAATATATTGCCATAAGTGGCATAACCTAAAACAGCCAAGAATGCCTCCTTCAAACTTATTTCTATGGTTTTGTTTCATTATTAAAGTATATTATGTTCTGTGTACATACTGTACAGTGGAACCTCGATTCGGTGAATCTCCGATTGGAACACACACTTTCTTGCCAAATTTTCTAATACAATTAGATGAACAAGCGTTTGCTGAAGCAGGGGATGTGTGGATTTACTTTGGATGTTGGTAGGATCTTGGGACCAAGTTCACAGATGGAGGCAACATTACAAGGAATAGTTGGAGCCTTGAGAAAGCCACTGAGTATGTTTCAAACCAAATTCTAAGGTTCTATTAAATTTAAGATTCCCTAGTTTTCATTCACTAATATGGGTCATTTTTCCTTTGAAAATGAGATTTCAAGGCTAGGACATGAGAATTGTGCTAATTGTAGTTAAATCAGGTTCTCTACAGGCAGGTTCTCTTGGTAGTTGTCCTTCATATGAGAGGTTGAAGTCCACTATGGGCTCACCATAGCCCGTGCTACTTGGAACTTTTGTTCTGAGTAGCTGAATCTTTAACAAGAAGACATGTTGAAATTAAAATTTCACTCCGGGAAATCAGCCCATAGAGCATTGGAAATATTAGGGTATGAATGGTAACTCACTCAATATGGCTCCAATCATGCTTTTGATGATTTTTGTAGATGGACTCAACATTATAAGAAATAGTTGGAACCTTGAGAAAGCTATTAGGATATTTAAAACCAAATTTTATGGTTTATTTTTATTTTGAATTGGCAAGGTTTTCATTCACTCAGGTATGGTTCTGCTACCTTTTGACAATTAGTTTTGAGGCTGGGGACATGAGAAACAAAGCTAGATGTGGTTAAATATTTTTGCAGACATGTTCATTTGGTAGTTGTCTATTATGGGATGAAATAAAAAGTTTGCTAAGTGAAATTAGCTCATAGACCATGGGCATCCTGGAGGCATCTCCGGTTGCAATGAATTGGGGGTTAGTCTCATATAGATTGTTGAATCAAGATTGTACTGTATTATTAAGCATATTCAAGTCAATTTGCAAGCTTTGCATGCCACTCTGAAGTAAATTGGGGGTTAAGTGGGCCAGCAGATAAAAAAGTAATACATAAATTAAAAAATGCATAAATATTTATAAAGCTATGACCTTTCTTGTCACTTTATTTTGTAAATAATTCACTGGATCCTCATTTGTTGCCTATAGTATGTGAAGAATACGAAAACAAATTGTTTAGCGTTTTGAAAATCTGGATAAATATTAATTATATTTAATTATATGAAGAAGTGCTTGGTAATTATTGTAAATAAATAAATTGTGTTGTATTATTAAGTTGTGTGTTGTATTATCATATAACTTGATAATGGTCCAGGACGGACTGAAACATCGTCGCTTCTCCATCTTCTGAGTTGTTATTTGGTCATCGTTTCTGCAGCTACATTAATGTGACTCATCTACAAATTGTGTTGTATATTGACAGGTTGAAGGGGAGGAGCTAGAAGAGGCTGTGCTGCAGGAGCATCTGGCTGACCTGATGGCAGCTAGCGAGTCACTCACCGATAGCACCTCAATATCACAGCTAATTGAATCCCTCCAGAAAGTAAGTACTGGTACAGTACAGTATTTCTCTAACATTCCGTTATATGAACAAGAGCCCTGGGAATGGTGTCAAACATGGTCTAGTTCCTAATAACAGTTCCAGCTTGTTTGGAGTCTCTCACTGTATATGTCTGTCCAGAATGGGTATAATAAGCCATGATATTAGACTAGCACCACTATAACACCATTGAGAAAAATGAGAATTGCCAGAACACAGTGATATTATGTCACTATATATTTATTTTTGATAGCCGAGGGCCAAAGAAACGGAGGAACATAGCACAAGTGCTATCTCCTATAGCACTAGCACTATAGGCTAGTGCTATCTCCTGTAATCAGTACTAAGGTCTGGGATAGCTATCCTGGCTAAATATAAATAATAACAATAATTCTGTTTAGCTAATGACCATTTTTGCAAAGTACCTGGTGCATTATTTGTTGCAACAGGGTGTAGACTCTGACAGACTGCCTGATAACCATGTGGTATACACGGACTTTGTAAAGGCATTTTTATAAATGTGATCAGGAAGTGATAGCCCATGAAATGAGAATCGGTAGGAATAACAGGTAAAGAAGGGCAATGAATATTCAATTTCCAGCCAAGCAGGATGAGTAGAGTAGCAGTCAATCAACAAAATCAAGTCCAAGTACAATGATAAGCGCTCTACCCCAGGGTACAGTCCTTGCACCGCTGCTTTTTCTTATTCTTATATGAGATATAGATAAAAATGCAAGTCACAGCTTCTTGTCATCCTTTGCAGATGACACAATAATTAACATGAAATTACTATTATGGAAGACATTGTAAAACTTCAAACTGGTATTAATAGTCTTTGAGGGTAACAAAAAATAACATGAAATTTATCAACGATAAATTCCAGGTACTTAGGTATGGTAGAAATGAAGAACCTGAATGAAATACAGGGTACAAAATAGGATCAGATCTCATAGTAAGAAAAGAACACATTGAATTGAAATAAGTTTATTTAGGTATAAATACACACAAAGGGATGAGGTTGCTCAAGCTATTCTCACCCAGTTACAACATGTATAGAATCTGAGAACAATGCTGCCTGACAATCTAATGTGTAGTGAGCATAACAAAGCAAATATAGCATCGACCAGAAAAATAATAAAATAGATAACGAGAACCTTCAAATCCAGGGATCCCATCACGATGCTGATATTATTCAAATCACTTGTGCTGTTCCTTTAACTGCAGTGTTCAATATTACACCAGAAATGGAAGAGTTACCAGAAGTCCAGAAAAAAAGTGAATGTAGTTGTAATATTCAAGAAAGGGGAGAGACATTAAGCACTAAACTATAGACTAGTGTTAATAGCATCCATTCCATATAAGCTTCTAGAAAAAGTCATTAGAAAAATTAGTGTAGAACATTTGGAGAAGAGTAGATTTTAGAACAGGGGCACACCACAGCTTCAGAAAAATCATGCTCAACTTAATTGAATTCAATGATTGGGTCACCAAAATAAGAGAGAAGGAAGGATAGGTAGACTGCATCTTCACAGACTGCCAAAAAGCCTTTCATAAACTCTTCATAAAAAACTTAATACACAAGAAGAAGAGACAAGTATGGATAACAAGAAAGGTGCTGGACAGGATACAGCAGTACTTGACAGACAGGAAACAAAGGGGTCATAATCAAAGAGGAAAGTGGTGTTCCACAGGGATCTGTCCTAGGACCATTGGTGTTTTTAATTTATGTAAATAACCTCACAGAGAGAGTAAGCTCATGTATGTTGAAGTTTGCATATACTGTAATGCTAAGTTAATGAGGAAAGTAAGTACTGAAGAGGACCGTAGGGTGCTGAAAGAAACCTTGACAGACTTTAGGAGTGGGCAGATATTTACTGCCAAATGCCAGATGCAGGCATTCATGCTGGCAGATATTCATGCCGGATGCAGGCATTCACTCCAAATAAGTACATGGTAATGAAAATGGGTAAGGGAGATAAGAGACTTATAATTTACTAGACTGTGCCATAAGGGGAAAGTATTTATGAGAAGCAATAAAAGAGAAAGACCTCGGAGTTGACATGATCCCAACACTAACATCAGCAGCGCATGTAAACAAGATAACATCAGCAGCATATGGGATGTTAGAAAACACAGGAGTATCATTTATGAATCTAAACAAGGAGGTTTTCAAGTCTACACACAATGCCTATGTGAGACCATTACTTGAGCATGCAGCACCAACATGGAACCCACACCTTGTGAAGCATAAACAGAAACTTGGAAAAGTTCAGAGGTTAGCAGCTAGATTAGTACCAGAATTGTGAGGTGTCAACTATGAGACGGGTTGAGAGAACTTAACCTCACAACATTAGAGGAGAGAAGAAACAGATGGGATATGATATCTTTGTGCAAGATATTGAAGGGAGAATAATGTGAATAAAGGAATCTTATTTAAATTAAAAAGAGATAGGACAAGGGGACATCAGTAGAAGTTGGACATGCAGTTGAGTCGAAGAGATGTAAGGAGGTTCTTGTTCCCTGTACGGGTGGTTGACAATTGGAATGCATTGAAGAGAGAGATTGTTGAAGCCAATTCCAGCCACAAGTTTTAAAATATATGATGAAAATGTTAAGATTGGGAAGGGTTAATAGTGCACCAGGTATGAACAGCTAGGAGGCAGGGCATAAAGATCTCACGCCCTTGTAGTCACTGATAGGTAAGCCCTGAGTACTGCTCAAGACTGTTTTCCCATTTCAGAGGAAATAAACTAGTCCACAAAAAGATCCTCATGGGGGAGATAAAACATGGAGCACAAGATTTGTGAACACTCCAGACAAATACTTCCAGTGGCAACATATCAAGGAGTAAACAAGAGAAAGTGGAAGTATCAGCTTCCAAGAAGAGAGAAAGTACCAGCTACTCTAGACCTGGTGTTTACCCAAAATGGTGATGATGTAGAGAAAAAATAGATATTACTAAGAGCCAGTGGTATGCATTATTGTATTTGATTACTATGTAGAACAGAAAGAGATTTGAAAAACAGGAGAAGGAGCAAGAGAGAATAATGAAGAAGAAACTACAGGTGGACTAGTATTGAACCACCACCTGCAGGAGGTTCAATGGTAGACTGAACCAGAAGTGAAGTCAGCATGAGATGATGGAACTTATAATACAGACATGCACAGAAACAATGAAACAGTTTATGTCCCTGAGGAGGAAAGTGGGCTAAAGGAGAATAGCAAACCCATGTTTCAACAGAGAGTATATGGCAGAAAGGAGAAGTAGAAAAGGCATATAAAAAAGTATATTGACATGGTTACAGAGGCAAATAGCGGGGCACTAAAGAGGGCCAGGAAAGAGAGTGCAAGGGAGGATAACAGAACAGCAGTTTGAGAATGACATTGCAGTAAAAGCAAAGAGCCAATCTAAGCTGTTGCACAGCCATTTACGAGAGGGAATCAATGGTACAAGACCAGGTGGTTAGACTGCAGGGACAGGGAGGAACATTCTCGGAGAATGACAGAGAAGTGTGTGGAGAATGACAAAGAAGTGTGTGAAGAACTCGACAAGATGTTTCAAGAGGTCATCACACCGGAATCAGATTGGTGTCCAAGTAGGGGGCAAACTGGCAAGCAGAAACAGTAGACAGAATTGAAGTTAATCTAAAAAATGGTAAAAAGATATATGAAGCAACTGGATGTAACAAAAGCAGACCCAATATACACCCAATATACACATACAATGGCACCTCGACTTACGATGGCCCCCGACTTACGATAATTTCGAGTTACGATGTAAATTTGATCGAAAAATGCGACTCAACTTACGATGCTTAGTGACGATTACGCCTATAAGAAATTACGTTTTTGTGGTGATTTTTTGCTTTTTGAACATAAAACTGATTATTATATATCACGCCATGGGTCCCAAGAAAGTCAGTGGTAAGGTTCAACCTAAGAAAATAGTTGTGAGTTGAGGCAGTAGAGGATGTCCCTTCTTGATTAAGAAAATGTGTGAAGTATAGGAAGAACTGCAAAATTTTGTTGAAAAAACTCGCCCAGATAAAGCTGTAGCAGGCCGTTGCATTGACCTTTTAAATGACAATGTAATGTCTTACTACAGACAAGTGTTAAAACGTAGTGAAAAACAAGTGTTTTTAGACAGATTCTTAGTAAGACAAACAAGCAGTGAGCCACAAGCAGGTCCAAGTGGTATGCAGGCAAAACATGCCTGAGAGTGTATCCCAGAAAAGTCATCACTGCCTGATGTTATAATGGAAGGGGGACTCCCAAATAGTAACACCTCTCCTCCTCCCCCCTCATCACCATCTTCCATACACCATCAAGAGTCCTCCATAAAAGTAAGATAAACATATGTACTGTATTGTAGTTAGAGAAAAAAATTGTATTCAGTATAAAATGTATTTGTAAGTTAATATTTTGGAGGATGGGGAACGAATTAATTCAATTCTCTTTATTTCTTATGGGAAAAATCGCTTCGACTTACGGTATTTCGACTTACGATCCGTCTCTGGGAACGGATTAGCATCGTAAGTCAAGGCCCCACTGTATACAGATATCAAATGAACAATACAGACCCAATATACATACATCAAATGAACAAATCCACAATGGTTTGTGGATGAACCTTCATCCACAAGAATGAGGGTTTGAACCTACGCACGGGATGTTTCCAGCTGCACCATAGTCAACTGTGCCACGACATGGTTAAACACATTGCAACCTGGAGTGCTACTGCCCTCACAATATATCCTAGTGAGGGCAGTAGCACTCTATGTTGCAATTCTTTTAACCATGTTGTGACACAGTTGACTATGGTGCAGCTGGGAACATCCCATGCGTAGGTTTGAACCCTCATCACGGCCCTTGTGGATTTGTTCAGACCCAATATCATCATGGGTACTGAAGAAAGCTGCAGAAATCTTGTGTAACCCATTAACCGTGGTGTTCAGCTTAACACTATAGAGATGGGATAGCTACTGGAAATCTGGAAAAGAGCAAATGTAATTTCAATATTCAGGAAAGGGAATAGATATGGAACTTTAAACTAGAGACCAGTGTCAATAACATGCATTCCATTAAAGGTTCTAGAAAAAGTCATCAGAAAAATTATTGTAGAACATTTAAGGAGTAAATTTTATAACAGAGCCACAACACATCTTCAGAGAGCGACAATCACAATTAAAAAACTTACTTGGATTGATTTATAACAGCCTTCTTGTAGCACCCTACAGTCCTGACTCCAGCTCTTACTCTCCTCATTAGCTTTGCATCCTTCACAAACATCGAGAAGTACGAGTTTATTCCCTCTGCGAGGTCATTTACATAAATTAAAATGGCAATGGTCCTCGGACAGAGCCCTGTGAAACACCACTTTCCACTCCTCTCCAGCCTGACATATCCTCTTTGACTACGACTCTTTGTTTCCTGTCAGTAAAATACTCCCATATCCAATCCAGTGCCTTTCCTGTTATCCTTACTTATCTTTCCATTTTATGTATTAGGACGAGAATCGGAAGTTTCTATGTCTGGATTTTTCAGAGAATCTGGAAAATGGGTATCTGGATAATAATGGGTTCCACTGTACTATACACAAAATTACACCAACTCATTTCTCCAAACTGGACACACTTACTTATAACCATGAATGGATAAAAGTTGAAAAAGTTGTAAGCTAGGATGGAAATTATTTATTTAAACACTAGGATTATCTAAAGTAATTACCTAAGTGTAGTTACAGGATGAGAGCTACACTCGTGGTGTCCCGTCCTCCCAGTACTCTTTATCGTATAACACTTTGAAACTACAGTACTGACGGTTTTGGCTTCCACCACCACCTCACTTTGCTTGTTCCAACCGTCTACCTCTCTGTTTGCAAAAGAAAGCTTTCAAATATTTTTGGGCACCTTTGTTTCCTTAGCTTGAATCTGTTGTCTTCTTGTTCTTGAAGTTGCTGGTCTCAGGAATTCCTTTGTCAGTTTGGTCGATTCCTGTTAGTATTTTGTAAGTGGTGATCATATCTCTTTTTCTTTTTATCTTCTAGTTTTGGCATCTTTAATGCCTCTAGCCTCTTCTCGTAACTCTTCCTTTTTCAGTTCCAAAAGACATTTTGTAGCATGTGTTTGCACCTTTTCCAGTTTGTTTATGTGCTTTTTGAGATGTGGGCACCATTCACATGCCGCATATTCCAATTTTTGTCTCACAAAAGTCATGAACAGTTTTAGTATTTCAGCATCCATGTAATTAAAAGCAAGTCTGAAGTTGGAAAGTGACGCATATGCTCCTCTCACAATAATCTTTGTGTTCCTCTGGTAACAGTTTATTATCGAAAAAACCACCCCTAGGTTTCGTTCTTTATTAAGAGTTCATTAATTCCTTTCCACATAATTTGTAAGTTGTGTGTTGTCTATTTTCTCAGATTCCACATCCCATGACATAGCATTTATTCACATTGAATCCCATTTGCCACTTGATGCTCCAAGCACTTATTTTATACAGATCAACTTGAAGGGCATTACAATCGTCTGCATTTCCTATCTTCCCCAGTATCTTAGCATCATCCACAAAAATGTTCATATAATTCTGTATTCTTTCTGGCAGATAGTTTATGTAGACGATGAACATAACTGGTGCATGAACTGAACCCTGTGGTACTCCGCTAGTAACACTCCTCCAGTCAGAAACATTGTCTCTGATTACTGCCCTCAGCTGTCTGTCAGAAAATATTTCATCCATGTCAAAAGGCTCCCTGTCACCCCTCCAGCATGTTTCAGTTTCCAGAACAACCTCTTGTGTGGGACTCTGTCAAAAGCTTTTTTTTTTTTAGGTCCAGATAGACACAGTCAACCCAACTATCTTTCCTGTAGTATCTCTGTGACTCTATTATAAAAACTAAGTAGACTTGTTACGCAGGATCTTCCTGTTTGAAAACCATACTGTCTGTCTGTTATGTCATTACTCTCTCTGAGTTCAACCTATTTGGTTTTAACTATTTTAACTATAATTTATAGGGTCTTCTCGGGTACCATTTTTATAGATTGGAATTATGTTTGCTTTTTTCCATATACAATACTAAGATTCCTGTGCACAAGGATTTCAAGATATATTACTTGGAGTGGAATGCTCAGCTCAGTTGCACATTCTCATAGTACCCAAGGTGAAACTCCATCTGGTCCAACTGCTTTATTTCTTCCTAGACCCTTGAGTAATTTTTCAACTTCATCTTCAGATACTTCTATGTATTTTATGGTGTGCTGTGGAATTGGCATTGGGTCCGACTCACTGAAATCCTTATTTCAGAGAGGATTCCAAAGACTTCCAAAGACGGAGTCCAAAGAGATTCCAATGGACTGTTCATTTAGCATTTCACACGTTTCTTTTTCATTTTCAGTAATCCTGTTTATTCTGTTCTCAATCTCTGGATTTTATCCTTTGCACAGCTTGCTTTAATGAATTTATAGAAAAGGCCTGGAACTATTTTACATTTGTCCACCATCCCTTTCTCAAAGTTTTTCTGCCTCTCTCCTCACTGCTGTCTAATTGTTTCTTGCTTCCTTGTAGTGCTGGTGTGTTTGAGGGTTTGGCCTCTTCCTATTTTGTACCTATTTTCTTGTTTTTTACTCTCTGGCCTTCTCACGATTTCTGCTAAACCAGTCCTGTTTTCTGGTTCTGCCTCTGTTTTGGTATGAATGTTTGTGTGCCTTTATCATATATTTCACAAAATTTGGCATACATCTCATTTACTTCCTTGCCTAGCAACAAGTCTATCCAATTAAATTCATTAAAGAATTTGCTAAGTTCCCCATAGTGTCCTCTCTTGAAATCAAGTTTATCAACTGTTTCATTGTCCCCATTCTCATCCCTAAGTGTAGCGTTTGAATGTTTTATGAATGCAGTGCATTTATTTATGTGTGTATTTGATTTATTTTCAGGTTCATTCTTACAGTTCAATAATCTCAACGCAATTCAGTCAGTGTGCTGCAGTAACAGCCATCAACAATGCAACAGAAGCCATTGTCATAAAGTTGAAACAGTCTGCTTTGGATGCAGTATTGGCTTCCATAGGATTTAGGAATGACGAAGCTTTTGCCATGGCCTCGTCTTTAGAGGAGCATGCCTTGTATGGGAATAATGCAAATGTCCTCCTCCTCTACATGCTGTCAGACCTACTGTCTACCAGAATGATGCAGTTAAGTGTTAGTCCAATTAGTCCACTTAGTCCTAGCCAGCAACCTCCGATGTCTGCTTCCAGCCCCATGCAACCTAACATGGCTCCCTCTGTAGCGTCCAATAGTGTTCTTGAAGATAGCCTTGGCCACAGCCTCGGCCTCAGTCCTGGTAAATTAAACGAACTGAAGAGCTATGAAATAAGTAAATTAAATGAGCTGAAAAGCCACGAAATGAGTAATGTAAATGTAGAGCACATTTTACAGATGACTGAGGCAATAGAAGCTGGGTCATTGTTAGGTTCTAATGATGGCATGTCTGTTATGTCTGCAGGAGCCACAGCTATAGGATCAAGTCATATGGGATCCGCCCTATCTTTAGGGTTGACGAATCTTTCCTTACTGGCCTCTGAAACTTCAGAAAATGGGAAAGATGAACTTGAGTCATTAACGGATAAGAAAGAACCAATACCAGTTTCATATGTCGATGCAGCAAAAAAGCCAGCTAAGCCCACGCCGCCACCTGAAACCCCACCAAAAATGCCAATGCTGAAGCCACTATCACCAGTAGGTAGACCCGGAAAATTTCCTCACTGCTGGATGATTTTATCCATTAATGGAATTTTAGCAGGTCGCATTATATTTGAACTTCGCCCTGATAAAGCACCAAGAATGTGTGATAATTTTGTTGCACTTTGCACTAATAGAAGTGGGTATGGATATAAAGGTACTCATTTTTTCAAGAGTGGAGAAGGCTTCCTTGCTGGGGGGGACGTGGAGAACGATGATGGGACCGGTGGATACTCTGCCTTTGAAAAGAGCACATTTGAGGCTGATCTCTGTCCATTAAAGGATGAGGTTGGCATGGTGAGATTCAAGGGCATTGGCACTAGTGATAATGGTCGAGGTATGATTGGCTCACAGTTCATGATATGGTGTGGGGATAGGGAATTTAAGAAGTTCTCCTATAGCCTTGTGTTTGGCAAAGTAGTGGATGGACTAGACGTTGCCAAGAAGGCTGCAGCAATTAATGTCCATCGAGTGTCTGTTAAAGTTGAAGATTGTGGTGCAATCTAACTACAGTCTCGTTTATAATATATTTGTATAATCAGTATGTCCGAGCTTTTGTATTCACGGTTTAATTATCAATATTAAAGATAAGAACAGTATAAGGATTGCAGTTCAAGCATTTAATTTTTCTAGAAGTGCCTTACCGTGTGCCTTTTATGTGGCATCACATGTTTCCAGTTTTCCTTTTTTTAATAATCTTAAAAAATCTCTCTGAATTAATGTGAAGAAACATGTTCACTTGTTAAAGATCCTAAAAGTGCTGTCAAGAAATGTATTTAGATGTTATTGCAGCACCTGAGTGAAGAGACAGTTTGACATTTCTTGTACAGTATATCCAATGGGAGAGCTACGTTTAATTAAATGTATAAATAATTTGTGTATGGATGCTTTAAGAATAGTTGTCACTAAGACAAAACTATACTCCTGAAAAAACTGCGTCCATTAAGGATTAAGATTTTTCCCCCCTTTTTTTTAATGCGTGGATAACAATAATAATTAACCGTTGTCAATATAAAAATAATTGCGAATACATTTAAGGAAACTGTGTACCTAAGTTAATTGCTGTCCACCATTCACTTAATTATCTTTCGTGTAATTGACCCATCTCGGTATAGAGCTCAACGCATGGTAAGACAACAGTCCCAGAGTTCAAATGGACTACACTAATATAAACCTATCACTCGGTAGTACATGTTGGATCTAGCAGTGCACACAGCACGACACAAGAGTTGAAACTGTTGATTGTACATGTATCTTGTATAATGAAGCTGTCAAGGTTTGGTTTCACCAGGTTTTATATAGAAAATAGTTTGCAAAGTTATTAAGTTTGAAGGAAGTTATTCCATGCTTGTTAAATTGTGGGTGTACCACTTGCAGCCTAGTGTGGATACCTCCTGCTACGTTGATTCAGAATGTTGGTCCCTCGGTGAATGTAAATCTTATTGAAGTGTCTGTGTTGCTGCCTTTAGCACCATTGCACACTTTCTCTTGATTCTTTTTGTGGAACTGCAATAATTTGCTCAATATTTTGTATCTCATGTAGGCACACTTAAACGACACTTATGACCTTTATCTTAATTGTACAATCACCAAAGCATTATCTTCAAATTCAGTTGAGCAATAAGGGGCCAAGCTGTGGGATAAACATTGTCATGCTATCTATATCTCCCCTAAACCTGGTGTTCAACTTTAGGAATAAGGGGCCAAATCCTAATATAATTTTTGTTCTATGGTACTTACATATCTTCTCGACTTTTAATCTTACAATATCTACAGCTATCGAATGTTGTCAGATTATGGATAGGTGTTGTGTTTGGCTATATAAAAATCCACATAATTTGTCCAGGTGTGTAATTATAATTCTGAATTCCTTTATAGCTGTATTGAATGCACTTTTAATATCATTGGTTTCTTTTTCTTTTTTCTCAATTTTTCCATACAAATTTGATAGCGAAGGGTTATGTGTAAACTTCATCGTTCCGAAATATTGTAATCAATCGATTTTTTTTTACAAGTAAATAAATACGATGCATGCATCTTAATTTGAGTTCTCACTACGTTTTCCTTGCATTTGGTAAATATTGCACTCGGTCATAGAATGAAAATGGTTGCAAAGCCAACTGGTAAGGTACAGTACACAATCCAAGAATAATCACGTTAAAATCCCATTGCAATAGACCTACGGCCATACTGCAGTCACAGACTCGACACCCAATACTGTAGTTTTAGTGGTACATATGTATATTTTAGATTAAATTTTTGTGTCATTGTGTTGTGTTCTTTGCAGTAAAGCAAATTATGAAAAGCTTCTATGTAGCCATGATGTGTCAACACTGGACTTTGTGGCCATGATGTGTCAACACCGGACATTGTGGCCATGATGTGTCAACACTGGACATTGTGGCCATGATGTGTCAACACTGGACATTGTGGCCGTGATGTGTCAACACTGGACATTGTGGCCATGATGTGTCAACACCGGACATTGTGGCCATGATGTGTCAACACTGGACATTGTGGCCATGATGTGTCAACACTGGACATTGTGGCCATGATGTATCAACACTGGACATTGTGGCCATGATGTGTCAACACTGGACTTTGTGGCCATGATGTGTCAACACCGGACATTGTGGCCATGATGTGTCAACACTGGACATTGTGGCCGTGATGTGTCAACACTGGACATTGTGGCCGTGATGTGTCAACACTGGACATTGTGGCCATGATGTGTCAACACTGGACTTTGTGGCCATGATGTGTCAACACCGGACATTGTGGCCATGATGTGTCAACACTGGACATTGTGGCCATGATGTGTCATCACTGGACATTGTGGCCATGATGTGTCAACACTGGACATTGTGGCCATGATGTGTCAACACCGGACATTGTGGCCGTGATGTGTCAACACCGGACATTGTGGCCATGATGTGTCAACACTGGACATTGTGGCCATGATGTGTCAACACTAGACATTGTGGCCATGATGTGTCAACACCGGACATTGTGGCCATGATGTGTCAACACCGGACATTGTGGCCATGATGTGTCAACACTGGACATTGTGGCCATGATGTGTCAACACCGGACATTGTGGCCATGATGTGTCAACACCGGACATTGTGGCCATGATGTGTCAACACTGGACATTGTGGCCATGATGTGTCAACACTGGACATTGTGGCCATGATGTGTCAACACTGGACATTGTGGCCATGATGTGTCAACACTGGACTTTGTGGCCATGATGTGTCAACACCGGACATTGTGGCCATGATGTGTGAACACTGGACATTGTGGCCGTGATGTGTCAACACTGGACATTGTGGCCATGATGTGTCAACACTGGACTTTGAGGCCATGATGTGTCAACACCGGACATTGTGGCCATGATGTGTCAACACTGGACATTGTGGCCATGATGTGTCAACACTGGACATTGTGGCCATGATGTGTCAACACTGGACATTGTGGCCATGATGTGTCAACACCGGACATTGTGGCCGTGATGTGTCAACACCGGACATTGTGGCCATGATGTGTCAACACTGGACATTGTGGCCATGATGTGTCAACACTAGACATTGTGGCCATGATGTGTCAACACCGGACATTGTGGCCATGATGTGTCAACACTGGACATTGTGGCCATGATGTGTCAACACCGGACATTGTGGCCATGATGTGTCAACACTGGACATTGTGGCCATGATGTGTCAACACTGGACATTGTGGCCATGATGTGTCAACACTAGACATTGTGGCCATGATGTGTCAACACTAGACATTGTGGCCATGATGTGTCAACACTAGACATTGTGGCCATGATGTGTCAACACTAGACATTGTGGCCATGATGTGTCAACACTAGACATTGTGGCCATGATGTGTCAACACTGGACATTGTGGCCATGATGTGTCAACACTGGACATTGTGGCCATGATGTGTCAACACTGGACATTGTGGCCATGATGTGTCAACACCGGACATTGTGGCCGTGATGTGTCAACACCGGACATTGTGGCCATGATGTGTCAACACTGGACATTGTGGCCATGATGTGTCAACACTAGACATTGTGGCCATGATGTGTCAACACCGGACATTGTGGCCATGATGTGTCAACACCGGACATTGTGGCCATGATGTGTCAACACTGGACATTGTGGCCATGATGTGTCAACACTGGACATTGTGGCCATGATGTGTCAACTCTAGACATTGTGGCCATGATGTGTCAACACTGGACATTGTGGCCATGATGTGTCAACACTGGACATTGTGGCCATGATGTGTCAACACTGGACATTGTGACCATGATGTGTCAACACTAGACATTGTGGCCATGATGTGTCAACACTAGACATTGTGGCCATGATGTGTCAACACTAGACATTGTGGCCATGATGTGTCAACACTAGACATTGTGGCCATGATGTGTCAACACTAGACATTGTGGCCATGATGTGTCAACACTAGACATTGTGGCCATGATGTGTCAACACTGGACATTGTGGCCATGATGTGTCAACACTAGACATTGTGGCCATGATGTGTCAACACTAGACATTGTGGCCATGATGTGTCAACACTAGACATTGTGGCCATGATGTGTCAACACTAGACATTGTGGCCATGATGTGTCAACACTAGACATTGTGGCCATGATGTGTCAACACTGGACATTGTGGCCATGATGTGTCAACACTAGACATTGTGGCCATGATGTGTCAACACTAGACATTGTGGCCATGATGTGTCAACACTAGACATTGTGGCCATGATGTGTCAACACTAGACATTGTGGCCATGATGTGTCAACACTGGACATTGTGGCCATGATGTGTCAACACTGGACATTGTGGCCATGATGTGTCAACACTAGACATTGTGGCCATGATGTGTCAACACTGGACATTGTGGCCATGATGTGTCAACACTGGACATTGAAGATAGACTACCAGTATGTTATTAAACAAAATCAGTATTTACAGTTAACTGTAGTCATCATTAAAGAGTGTGCAGCTTGGAACAATTCTGGCCTGAGTAAGGGATTAGTATGAAAATTGACACAATGCAGTCAGCAGTATGAGAATCATTTTGCCAGTTACTGATAATCATGCATGGTATATACAGATTGGTATAGTATGTGATTATGGACTAGTATAGTGTGTGATCATGGACTGGTATAGTGTGTGATCATGGACTGGTATAGTGTGTGATCATGGACTGGTATAGTGTGTGATCATGGACTGGTATAGTGTGTGATCATGGACTGGTATAGTGTGTGATCACGGACTGGTATAGTGTGTGATCATGGACTGGTATAGTGTGTGATCATGGACTGGTATAGTGTGTGATCATGGACTGGTATAGTGTGTGATCATGGACTGGAATAGTGTGATCATGGACTGGTATAGTGTGTGATCATGGACTGGTATAGTGTGATAATGGTCTTGTATGATGTGTGATCATGGTCTTGTATGATGTGTGATCATGGACTGGTATAGTGTGTGATCATGGACTGGTATAGTGTGATCATAGACTGGTATAGTGTGTGATCATAGACTGGTATAGTGTGATCATAGACTTGTATAGTGTGTGATCATAGACTGGTATAGTGTGTGATCATAGACTGGTATAGTGTGTGTTCATAGACTGGTATAGTGTGTGATCATAGACTGGTATAGTGTGTGATCATAGATTGGTATAGTGTGTGATCATGGTCTTGGATGATGTGTGATCATGATCTGGTATAGTGTGTTCTCACAGTAATAAAAGTTTCTCATACTTTGTTTAAGCATGACTTTCAAGATACAAGTATTGACAAGTGTTTATCATAAGTATTAATAGCATGTTTACCACTGTTCTGTGCAGTAGTACACTTGTACACTCGCCAAAGTGCAATCTTTATGCAACGAATGAAAGCTTAAAACTGTAACAAAACTTCAGTGTGTTTGTTATCATACATAGAAAAATAAATAGTGACTTCAGAGAAACTAAAAATAACATGGCTGAATAATTAGCCCATTCTCTCAAGTGGTCATGTCACAAAAATGGTGTATTAAATTCCCCAAACCTAACCTAACCAAGGATCCATGAAAATGGGACAGACCATCAATTTTGAGAGCCACTTTGATTTATTGTACATCATATTTTGGGGCATTGTCAAAATGAGATGTTCTATTCAAGAGGACAGTTTGGAAAAATAATCCAGTCCTCACATATGAAATAGAAATGGTGATCTTTCAGTCCCTCCTGAACCTTACCAAGTCATAACATGACTTGATAAAAGGTTCAAAATGGACAAAAATGTGTCACTTAATACAATTTTGCTTATCTGACATGGGTTATAAATACAAGATGTTGAAAACTTCCACATTTTCTGTACAGAGATATAGACTGTACAGAGATTTCTGTACAGACCTTGAAACCTGCATCAAAGCAACAATTTTTTTTTTTGTATAATGTGTGTGTGGGGCAAGATGGAATATTAGTGTGTGTGTGTGTGGGGGGAGGTGTTCTAGTAGATAGCTTATTAGCATTGTGGCATCGTACAACTAATTTAAATTGTTATAAATATGCAGTCAACTTACCTGAATGTGAGTACAGTATGTACAAAAGCTGAAAATCTTATCCTAATTGGTTAGATATTTCAAGTAGGATATATTATGAACAATACACAAAATCAATGCAGAAATCAATAATATTTTATATAGCTTATATCGACCTGCTTTTATATAACTTTTTTTCTCGTAAAGATCCTCAAAAGCAGGTGCTGTCTTGGAGGTAAATAATATCTAATAGTCAAAAACATTTTTTCTAGTGTATTAAAGGCATCATATAACATCAATATTTTTAAAAAGTAAAAGAATAATGCATCTTGAATCATTTAACAGTAATTAAATACTCCATAGTACCTTAAGTGTCCATGTAATCTTCCTTGAAGCGGTAACTATGGTAATTCTCATAATGGTCGTTTGTTTGTACTCACCTAGCACAACTAGGTGAGTACATCCACTCATTCAGCATATCTTC